GGTAAAATCCCGGACGAGCGTACCAGTTGTCACAACTATAGGAGAGCCCTAGGAAGGGTAGGGTTCCTATACAGGAGGTATCTTCAGTCTATAAGTGTGGCTCACTAGAAGTATGGTACTTCATCGTCTACTAGGGTAGAAAGACCGAGATATTACTCCTGGGACAGAGGACAGGAAGATAAGTCTACCCTGCTCCGATGGGTGGTGCTAGGCCGACTAGGTATCCTGGTGGCAACTCCTCTGCCACTTTTAAAGAAAGAGCCCCCAGAGAAAGACAGCGAAGAATGCCCCCTTCTCGCTCACTCAACTATTACTCACGCACAGCAACACAGACAGACGAGAATAGTAGTGAATGAAGAATGATGTCGCTTTAATTTTACTACAACTGACTGGCTAAAAATTGACAGTGGTTTGGTGTTTGATTTTAAACCAAATGGTTATCATCATAAGAGAAATGTCTACTGGGTCCAGTTCCTTCCCCGCACGAGTACAGCTCACCCGTGGATACTCCCAAAGGCTGGACTTGATGAGGAAACCGGAACACTTGGCTTCTTGTAGATCTTATTTCTTGTGATATCCTCTTGTAGATAATCCACCGCTGATGTTCTTAAAGTTCAGATACGACACGTGGTCGTTTAGAAAATTCGACACGTGGTCGGTTACAATTACGACTAGTAGTCGGTTATGAATACTGGGATTAAATCCCTTAAACTGTCTCTTTGTCTGTGCCGATTCTATGGCGACATGACAATGGGTACAATTGTGTACTAATCGTTGAGTCCTTGGTGTTATGAAAAATGCCGCAGGGCCCCTCAGATCGGTCAGAAATCACTACCGTAATCCAGAACGAATTAATATAGAACTACACTCGCTAATCTGAATACTGAACTTGAAAAACTACCGATCATCACTCGACCACGTTTGGGACTGCCAAGACCGGAAGATGGCGGCTTCCGCTCAAAAATGGACGACCCACGGGACGCCAGCCATGCGCATGCGCCAAAAAGATAAAGCGCCCTCTGGTACGTTCTATTGATTGGTCGAACAGGGCACTTTGATTGGTTGCAAAACTAGTAATCCATGAGTTAAATGTAACTAGCCCTATCCGGTTTTTAGCGGAAAGTATTAGGGGAAGGCCGGTTGCTAGGCGACGCGAAAATCTCATCGAAGTTGTGTAAGCACTCGCATCCTCTAACTTCTAATATATATATGGCTTCTGCCCTAAACTATAAGGTAACTAGGGGAGCGTCAGTGGTCATTGCCAGTACTGTCACACTCTGAAGTTTGCATTAGCTCTGCAGGAGCTCTTTTCAGTGCAACTTTGTAGTGAGCATTGCTAAGGTATTTTATATCTTCTTCTTCTTCTGCCTTTCAAGCCCCCAATGGAGCACATGCCCTCAACCAACTCATGCCAAGTTGTTCAATTTTATATTGTACAAATAAACATATAGTCACAATTATAACCTAAATCTCTCACTTTGGGGATGCTGGTGAAACGTGAATTTTTTTCCCGTAAAGCATCCAGCCAGCCAGAAATTTTTCGGAATTACTGAAAAATTGCATGCATGTAATTTATTTCAGTGTGACAGAGGGAGGAATTAGACCCTTGCCAGGCAGCCTTGCATCAAGTCAGATTTTATTTTAAAATCATATTGTCTTTCAGGTTGACCCAGCCTAAAAAATGGTACAGCGTAAAATTCCTGGGAAGTAAAGGTGGCTGATAATATGCATACTAAATTAAACCTTTTCTACTCATTTTGTGTTTCATTAAATTTTTTCAAAAACCTAATTATTTACTATTATAATATGTAGTGTACATTTTCTTCTTATATTTCTTCTTCTTTGTGTTCACCGGCTGTAAACTCTGGCGAAGAGTTCAAGTTGTTTGTCCATTTCTGAACTTTAGTCTTGTTCCAGAACTTGAGTTTTGTGTGCACATTCATTTTGCAGATCTGGTTTGTTTGTATGCAGACTGTTGGTTCCTTGCCTCTCATGCAGATGTGCTCTGACTTAGCAGGAAACACCCATAATTAGTCAACCATTATAATTTTCTGTTTGTTGGCACCTACACATTGAGTATTGTGAATAATGTATAAAGATATATTTTGCAATATAAACAAGGTTTCCATTTTCTTATTACTTTAACAGTTTTAATGTAGTGGCTATCACCCTTGCCTGTCAGTCTGAAAGTCTGTTTAAAATCCTACTGAGGTAGATATTTAACCCTTTGAAAGTCTCTTTAAATTCCCACTGAGGTAGATATTTAACCCGCTGGAAGTCTCTTTAAATTCCAACTGAGGTAGATATTTAAACCTCTGGAAGTCTCTTTAAATTCCCACACAGGGGTAGATATTTAACACTGCTGCCCCGAGAAAGCCATTTTCCTATTTTTAACAGGATTTTAATGGTATGAAGTTGTTGAATATGCCTACATAACAGCTTTAATGCTAGCTGCAACAGCATAGTAAGTAAAGTAAAAGACCGTTTTTTTCTCACCTTCATTGGTATTGGGCATATAGGGCTAGACCCATATTTTATGGTCCAGTCGACATTCGCTGGGTTATATGGTTAACATCAGGCCAGTAGCCTTTACCTCCTAAGATTTTTTCTGGTACCTATTTAAGGCTTGATCAAGTTCGGCTTTGTCAGGACCCAAACCCACAACCTTCTAATCCACAGCTGAGCATCTAGAGGCTATACCATGGTGGTTCCCCTGAAACTGCATACTGTGTAGAAATTGAGGGCATGATGTGTTTAAATGAAAAACAAAATAGATTAAAATGGATGGCGAAAGTTTTTTTTTTTAAATGATGTTATTGTGACATCATACTAACCTCATAATAACACCACTTTACTCCCCAATAGAGTGGGTAAAAAAAAAATTATATATATATATATATATATATATATATATATATATATATATATATATATATATATATATATATATATATATATATATATATATATATATATATATATATATATATATATATATATATATATTGTGACACAGTCTGTCTTCTGTAGAATTGTAACCCAGGCTCTCCTAGATTTTGTGTCAAGGGTGGCGGGTGATTGTTGACAGGCGAGGAGAAAGATGGTCGTGTCGTATAATGATGAAGTCAATGAAAGAGTTGTGTTGCTCGCTGCATGTTTCTTACGTGCAAAGTGTCTGAACAATAACAGTACTCGTTCTCCAAATTTTCTTGTTTAATATTTCATAGCAACAATGTCACACAATTGAGAAAAATCACCTTGTTCATCTCCTAACTCTATATATATATTTGTAGATTCGCGTTGTGTTCTTTTATTAAACTACTTCTAGTGTCTAGAACTGCCACCGGGCTACTAGTGCAGGTTGGGCTAAAAAGTTCATTAAGTAATACTGTCTATCTACTTATCTGTGCTCTCTTCCCTGCTTAATTAGCCGGTGCTTGTCTTCTGTTCTCCTGACTCTGTCTCTAGCCTGTCCCTCATCTGTTCTTTGCTGTCTTCTGCTGTCCTTTTTCTTCTGCCTCAGTCTATCTCCGTTTGTTCGTCTCGTGTTCGTCTGTCCTGACTGTGCGTGCGTCTGCCTGAGTCTGTGAGCTCTAATCCTCTAATCTAAGTCTATCTGTCTGTCTATCTATCTGAGCAAACCGCTCCTCTGGTCTGTCTGTCTATCTATCTGAGCTAAGCGCTACCGAAGATCCCGGGCAATCGCTTATAAAGGGGCCACTAAGGGGGCTCCTACCCCTCCTTGTTTTGCAGCTACTGGCATCACCTGATCTGGCCGGGACATCGGTATTTTAGCTAATGGCTTTGGTGTTGACGGGGAGAGTCACATGTCTGATCATGCGATTCATAGTACGTGGGAAACAAGAGTATGGACCTAGGGGGATGTAGTTGGTTACTAATGGAAAATTTTACAATAAAAGGGTCTTACCGTGCAAAGAGCACAATACTAATAAAGGGGGTCGGGGTGCGGAAAGGGGTTGGGGTGCGGACTCTGCTACAATATATATATATATATATATATATATATATATATATATATATATATATATATATATATATATATATATATATATATATATATATATAAAAATACATTATTTTAGCTTTAAGTTGCTTGAATGAAGAAGCAGTAGACTTCACGCTTGCCTATTTGCTCACTGGTCTAGTATTTTGACCCACTTGGATTTTTAGAAAAACTGGCCAACACTCCAAATCTCTTCTGCTTTTTTTCCTTTGCGTACCCTAGATGATATAACCCATACTATGAGCCCCATATCATATTTCCAGGACACCCAAAGAGGTGGAAACATGTCTTTTTTTTTATCACAGGGCCAGAACACACCAAAGCATTGCAGAGAGTCCTATATTATACTTTTAGTTTAAAACTATATAGATTTGTATATTAACATTAACCATGCATATGATACATATGATGCACAGTGAGTTATGAAGCTATACAGACTTAACTGTGATCTTGTTGGCCAGTTTTATTTTACTTTTATGATATAGTATATGGATTTGTATATTATTATGAAACAAGCTTTTATGTATCTCTTTATGAATGATGCATTTGTGTTTTTCATTACATTGATTTATTGTTGCTGTGATCTTGCTTGCTAGTTCAGCAAGTTTACAACAGCTTCAAGAGTCAGTTATAGATAATTATTCATATCCATTTCAGTTCTGTGTTGTTTCCTATACCTATATGCTACTGCTTATGTTGCATTGAAAAGAAAAAAAACTAAAACATCAACTGAGTTAATAAGGAGAACACCAGTGAGGAAGATTGTTACCACAAAAGCCTGATTGCTTATAGATTAACTGCTCCTTGCTTGATTATTTTTAACAATTAAAGAAAACAGCATGTATTTTTCATCCAGCGGCATAAAACTGTGATCTGTTTATTGTGAAAGTTGTAGAACAGTAATCTTTTCCACAAATAACAAGCCCTGCATTTTCTCTTTTCATCTTTCGCATTATTTTATGATATTTTGTCACAGATTCTCAGAATCCAGATGCATGTGTTCCCATAGACTACTGTCTGAGCAATCCTTGTGGAAATGGAACATGCAGAAATGTGACTGGTGGATTCAGATGTGACTGCAGTTTAGGATTTGAGGGTTCCCACTGTCAACATAACATTGATGACTGTGTCAGCCACAACTGCAAGAATGGAGCAACTTGTCTGGATGGAGTCAGCAACTTCACTTGCACCTGTTCTGCTGGTTTTACAGGTACATTTTAATATTACTGTTGTTTCTTTCCTTCTAATATTAGCTAGTGATACATTCTTTGATTTCACAAGGAGGAGAGGAAAACTGGAGCATTTAGTGACCTGTCTGTCCATCTCACATGTTATAGTAATTTATGTTTGCTATTTTTCCTTTGTATGATGCTAACAGTTCTATTGCTCTGCCTCTTTTCCTATACAACTTGCTCACTGCTATGACATGCTTAAGTTGTTGCTTTTCTCATAGCCCTCTTTATGAGTTAATATCTTTCAGATCCATCTTCAATGTTTTGTTTGTTATTTATCCATCATGTTCTGATCTTCATTGATCTTTGAAAAAGAAATACTTTTTTTTAAATCTAAGATCAAATAACATTAATGACCTGTAAAGAATATCACAACACTTACCTGACCCATAGGACTATACAGCACTAAGACATGACCTCTAAACCATAAACACACAAATTTGAAACATTTTATGTTTTATTTAATTCAGGATGCATGGTGTAAACAGGATCAAAAAGGCATCAAAGGAAAAATTATGAAAACAGAAAAAATTAAGATTATTGAAAAATAAACGAAATATAAGCTGTCGTGATCGCTGAGATGTGGAGATCTGCTATTCAGAATACTAGAGAGGAAGATAAATTAAATTGTAAAGACAAAAAAAAAGCAAATCTGAGTAACAGTGAAAAAAAAAACATGTGAACAAAAAAACATGTGTCCACACAGAGCAGAAGGAACCCAAAATTGATATCAAGAAATGGCATGTCCTGGAAAGTTAGAGTTACAGTCATCTGGACACATCACCCATCTAATGTTGATTGATCTAGCATAATTTGCCTGATGTGCCAATGGTGTGAGGAAGGTCCTTTACTTTTTACTGAGCATAGGGAAATTAGGAACAAGATCTATTGCAGTGACATGAGTAGATGGTTTCAACATGTCTTCTGACTGAATATCCAGATGATGACAGTGGTGATGAAACTATGGAGTAAAGAATGAATCAAGAATTAACAATACTGCACCTGAAACATTTCTACTCACACTTTTTCATGTAAAATACAAAATCAATCAATCAGTCAAGAATTGACACCACAGCACATGAAACATTTCTACACATGCCTTTCTCGTTAAAAAAAAATGAATCAATCAATCAAGAGTTGACATCATTGCATCGGATTATTTCTATACATGCTATTTCAAATTTAAAAAAAATTAATGCATCAATCAAGAATTGACATAATTGCACTTGAAATATTTTTACACATGCTCTTTCTTAAAAAAAAATATGAAAGAATGAATCAAAAAGAATTGACATCACTGCACTTGAAATATTTCTACACATGCTCTTTCTCATAAAATATGCAAGGAATGAATGAATCAAGAATTGACATCACTGCTTTAAAAATAGCTAAACAAGCTCTTTCTTCTTCCTCAACAGTCAATAAACAGTTCCCATGCGAATAGTGTCAGTTGTTACCTGATTAAAAGTCCATCTACATTTTCCTCTTAGTGTTAAATATTGTTAAGACCCCCCCCCCCCCAACATCCCCCCTCCCCTTTTCCCACCCTTTCCCTTGTCTGAATCAGTCTTTTTGTGTTGTTGTTATGGATACCCTGTTCTGGTTTACTGTCCACATGATCCCAGAGAGCAGGGGTAGAAAAAGAAACCATAGACAGTCATTCTTTGGTTGTTTAGAATGCATCAAACTTTCAGTCCTGTGACACGTTTATCTTAAATGTACTTTTCATTCAGGCAACTCCTGTGAGACAAACATAGATGACTGTTCAGGAAAATGTGCGACCAATAATACAGAAGCTCCATGCCAGGATTTGGTTGAAGACTATTACTGTCCGTGTAATCCTGCATACACGGGAAAGAATTGTTCGGTAGGTGTCTGGTAATTAATAGCATCAATAATAAAAAATAATTTATATTTAAATATTGCTAATTGACATTAGGATAAACATATTTATTGTTAAATCAATTAGCTTGTAGGAAATCCAGAAAAATACACAAGCCCTTCTGCAAATTCCTTTAAAGAACTTACTGGTTTTTATTCCCAATATCGACTATGTAGTCTGACTATGGAGGTAATGGCGGTAATAAAAGCAGTGACATGGCCATGGTCACATACTTTTTTAAATTGCATGTTCTCTATCCGATTCAATAAACATGCTTAAGAAGATCAAGACAGGACTGGCTCTCAGCCAATGGTTACAGTCTCTGAGGCAATCTTGTCTGATGGTAATAAGTTTAATTTTTGTACCAAAACACTCTGGGGTAAGAAGGAATTAACGAGCAGATTGGCTTGCTGGCAGGACTATGCACCCAAAAAAGCAATGAACTGGCCCAATGCAAAAAGCAATGAACTGACCCGATGCTCTCATTGCTCTTAAGGAGGTAGGAGGATAAGGTGATTCATGAGACGATGGTTAATCAGCAGCATTGATAAGACTACAAAAACTTTATGTACAAAATCTTCACGTCAGAAGAGGCATTGCCAAACAAGAACGCTTTACAGATAGCCAAAAAAGGTATTATTAGTCGCAACACACTGAGGGTGATATTGGAGATAGGATCTGAGCACTAATGGTCTTGTCCCGTGTGTGAAGAGGATGATCAGTCGATTAACTAACTACCCTAAACATTTCTAATGCTCCTAGAGATCATGCTTAATAATAGTATCAGATTTGTTTACATAAGTTTGAATTTTGAACAACAGACCAAAATCATGGCACATGGGTAGTCACCCATAAGTGCTCCATTCTTCTTCTATCTCGTCTGAGTCCGAAGGAGCTCAGCACAGTACACAGGCTGTGTAGCACCAGCAAGTATCCTGAAATACTTTGGGTAGATTTTTAACTCCAAATTTTGCACAGGCAGCTGCGTTAGGCTACTCTTCTCGATTTCCAACTGCCAAGGAATATATTACGTGCCCAACAGTTCACACGGCGGTCCGATCTCACTACCCAAAGACCAGGGGGAATTACTAGAAGTCCAAGTCCACCGGTAAATACAAAATATCAGCTTTGTTAAAGCATACAAAACTGTAGGCCAGTTTGATTCGGGTTAAGTAAATTCATAAATAACAGCCAGTTATCTTTAGGGAACAAAGTAGGGAAATCTGTGAATACACTACCTGGCTTGATCTGAGAATGCTGGCGTGTTGACTTCTGAAAAAGAAAGACTAGACTACAATTTACTAGCAGCCAACACAGAAGAGATCACATGGATGTTCCATAGAACTGTACATATCAGGTGTAGTGCTTACTCATTTGTAGATAACTCGTACTGTATAATAGATTAATAAATGTCAGTACAGGTTCAGGACCTGCTATGACATGCGAGTTCATAGAGACAACCCACCTGATGGTCTGATCTGAGCATATGAAACCGAACGCAAAGAAGAAGAAGATTTCATGTTCTATATGTGTAATACTGGTTATTGTCCACACTTTAGTTTAAATTTATATAGAAAAAATTATTATTGCCTGTTAAGTCAAAATTGCTTTGTTATACATTTGCTTTGTATCAACTACATTGATTCGCGTGCATGTGTGTGTGGGAATGGGGGAGGGGTTGGGGGTTTGTGTGTGTGCGGTGTGTGTAGATGAAAGAATGGCAGGCTGAACAGTTATAATGTTAGGCTCTCATGCAGGAGACTCATAGTTGACCCCCAGTAAGGCAATTTGGGGGCAAAGATAAGTACCTATACATTCTGTGGTGACAGCACTTGCCATGCAGCCCTAAATCCTCCAGCTCACACACCCTTTCAACACCACCCTAAAAAGTGGTAAATGCAGACAGCTGCAAATGTTTTTTTCCTTGGGGCACCACCTTGTCTGACTGATGTGGCTTTACATTGTAAGCAAGCTAAGCTGGTACTTCCGTTCAAATCAATAACCAAAGAGTTTAAAGCATCATGATGATGCTGCGAGAGTCGTCAGATCCCACAGTGGCAGCTGCTCAGCCCACTCTAAAGGCAGGTAAGAAATGGAGGGTCCAAGATGCGATAGAATCTGCTCAGAAAGCAATGAAAGTGAAGGAAGTCATGGGTTACACAAAAATCGACCTACGCCGGGTTTAGCATGGAAAAGTCAGTGGGTGGTCCAAAGCCTCAGCCAAAGAATGCAGAGACAAGGTGATACAGCAGATAAGGGACACCGAAAATGAGACTCGGGTCCAAAAAGCAGCTCAACAGTTACAGCAAGGCCAGTGGGTTGGCCCTGAGAGTGATTGCCTTGCCATGAATACTCACATAGGGTGAGATCTTGTGAATTGCCACGCTGCAGCTGAGCATTGTCATAAGATCTGCATATGATCTGCACCTTCTGGCACCAACATGGCCTATTGGTATGTGATCACAGACCTAACATGTCCTATATGCAGAACAAAGCAGATGCTACAGCATGAATTGTCCACGTGTAGAAAAGCCCTAGGCCAGGGACGATATACATGGTGACACAATAAAGTCCTGAGAGAGTTAGCGGACATTGTGGAACAAGCCAGGATGAGGGCCAATGTGAGGAATACTCCTACACCCACCCCCTACTCCTCTCCTTATGCTCTTCCTTAAGGCTGGGCAGATCTCTAAAGGTAAAGTCAACAAGGTCAGATACGCTTCATCAGTACTTGACCGTGCGAGGGACTGGTTACTGGCGGCTGACCTGCCTGGTTTCGGAAAGTACCCAGAATCAATCGGAAAGACCAGCTTGAGAGTTGAGGTGTACACAGTAAAAATCTTTGCCATCAATTAGGCACAAGCAGGCTGATCTCTACTTCCCCTTCAATGTACTAAAACAACTGGGCGAAGCTGGGGAAAGAGCTTCAAGCCGGCTGTGGACACAAGGGAACGTTGTATGGGTGGGCCTCAGTAGACTGATCCAAATCCCTAGTGGAAAAGAGCTTTTCATCCCTAAAAGCCAAAGTGTTCGATAAATGTCTGCCAGAGTCTCTCTGCCAAAGTCTAACATTTGTTTGTTGAACCAACCGTAAAGCATGTTACTCTGGTTGTGAAGGTTGGCAGCTAATTTGCTACCACAGAGACAATATATAACACTAACTCTCACAATACCTGTTGTAAAGTCACCACTTCGTCTTTCCCTGTCTGAATGTCCAGTAAAGGGCAGCAGGGGATGTCCGAGGCATAGCTTCATGAACCATGTGGGCCAACCTTTCAAGATTATCTAGAAAGTAATTGGGCCAAAACAATGGTCGGCGAATGACCTTTCTACTGATGATCGGTGGACCCTACTGTGCATGCTCCCCTGTGTTCTTTTCATTGTTGACAGTTAATATATACACATATATTCATTACAGGAAGCTGTCAATATGTGTACTGTTTATGAACCATGTCTTCATGGAGGAAACTGTTCTAACTTCACCGGAGGATACAACTGCACTTGTGCTGCAGGATGGACCGGGAACAACTGTGAGCAAGAAATAAATCACTGCAGTTCAAACCCATGTCAGAACAACAGTACTTGCTACAACCTTGTGGATGAGTATTTCTGCAGGTGAGTATTGGTGACCCCATGACCATCAAAGATTTTTTTTTCTCTGTAAGCATTTATCTGCATGAATAATACAAATGTAAAAGTTCTTCTTCTGCATTCATCGACTGATGTAAATTCATTGTGCCTGTTTACAACATGGTTGTTATATTTTTGCCTTTTGGCCAACACATCCAACTTCTGCAGACATTTGTGGCCTGGATTAGCCTTCTCGGATGTCCTGGGCAGAAAATCCATGATATGCTGCTGGCTGAGTCTTATCGTGGAGGAAGCCAATTTCACTTTTGAGATTGGGTGAATGTAGGCCTAGAGGCATAGGCAGTAATCGCAGCTTTTCGATGTCTTTAGAGCAAGTAGGTAGGTAGGTATTTGTACCCCAACAGGACATCACACAAGCAATGAATACCTGGTGACACAAAGTGCCACCATACGGATGAGGATCACCCGTGGAGAGATCCAAGATACCCCTTTCAGCCGTCAGGCCATATCTATGGCTAGGCCACATCTATGCCTATTCTACGCTATATTCTGGGTCCCCTGCAGAAGCTAGAGTGGGGCATCAAACAAAAAATTGCATCCCACGAGGGGAGGACTATAACTTGAAAGCAGCACAGCCTGTCATGTTGTAATTGATACGGACTCGCAGAGCATGCTTCAGAAAAGTGAAACTGGCTTCCTTCACTCAGAGTGGCTTAGATCACTTGATAAGACTCAGAAGCATATCATGGATTTTCTGTCCGGGACATTTAGGTGTGTAATATAATGAGCACACTGATAAACTAGCTGCTGCTGTTCCGCTGGGCACTGAAGTACTTTATGATAAAGTGGATGTAGCGAAGGTTCTCAACCATAAAATTAACAGTGCAGTAAAACAGACAGTGAATCCATATTATGGAAGATATTCAACACTGAGTGGGAAACAAAGTTTGACTTTTAATCAGGTTGTAAAATGTACTACTAGCATGTTGACTCTTTGTTGGCTACTGAAGAAAGGGACAGAGCACATGTGGGAATGTCCCAAGTTCAGTGAAGTTAAGTCATGATTTATTCATTCATTCAGTCTTTCGTTTCCATTGTAGTCTCTGCCAGTGCCATCTACCATTTCCCTTGACCAGTTTTTGTTCTCTTCGTGATGTCTTTAACTCTGTAGGATGATGGTTTTTAGTGGTGAGGTATATACAAGAACTGGTCTGGGCTAGTGTGTGAACTTTTTTTGGGTATAATCAAGGTGTTATGATTTTGATGTGTCAAAGCATGCATAATGAATGTTAAATTGTGACAACAGAGATGAAATGCCTTAGAAGAGCTGCATGAGTTTCAAGGAAAGACAAAATAATAAATCACAAAATCAAATACTAATAATGAAGCCAGTCTTACAGGTCATTAAAGAACAACAAATTAAGTGGTTTGTACACGTAACAAGAATGCCCCCATACTATTTACCACAGAGAGCCACACTGAAACGTTACAATGGGTATAGAGAGAGCAAAAGACCTTGGAAAGGATGGAGTAATGGCATTAGGAACAGCCTTATAAAAATGAACATAAATCCTAATAGTGCTCTTGACAGAGTTCATCCATGAACGTTGCATCCCCCCTCCCCTTCCAGGTCGACCCAGCCTTGAATGGGTAACGGGTGCAGTCCCAGGAAGTAAAGGCGGCCAGCGTGATGCTGACTACATCACCCATTTGTGCCGACTGGTCTATATAATATAGGTCTAGCCTTATGTGCCCTATACACCTAAAGGTGTGAAAAAGGGTCTTTTTAGTGGTGCATTGAGTATGTCAAAACAAATGTGCCTGTATGCACCACAAGGTGTCTAAAAAAATATGCCGCTATGTCCCACAAAGTGTCTAAAAATGTGACAGTATGCACCACAAAGTGTCTAAAAATTATGCCACTGTGGACTACAAAGTATCAACAACAAAAAACAACAATAAAAAAGGTAAAGGTAAAGTCGGGAGATGTTAACCAGCATCATTGCACATGGTTATAAACGATAAGTGCTCTGCCACCAGTATGGACAGCTGATGGGAAACTGTCAGCCTGTGTCACCGTCCGCACATAACTCTGTAGCTATAGCAACGTTCCTCCATTTACCCCAGAATGTTAACTCTGGTACAGATTTCCTAGAGGCTTGGTGAACCCTGAGAGCCGCCCGGTTTCAAACACTGACTGTGGCTGTAGCAAGTCGCAGCTGGATTTGAAAGTGAGCCTCAACTGCGCTAACGCGGCTCCGAAAAAAACCAATTCTGACCACAAAGTGTCTTTTACCGTTGCACTGAAAAATAAATTAAGCCTATAATGTGCCATTACTGCCCGCTGTTGCATACTGCCAAAAAAAAAAAAAAAATTGCCCTTCCAAATATATAATAATCTTTCTCTAGCATTGTCTCAGAGAAAAATGTGTTTTATCTGATGTTACCTTGTATGTTTGTTTATTCACCAGGTGTCTTGATGGGACATCAGACAGGAATTGTCAGCCAATAGAAAAACCATGTGATAAATTCAACGACTCTGTTTGTTCAACCAATGGAAAATGTCAGCCTGCTGGAGAGACCATTAAATGTCAATGTCATGAAGGTGAGGCATGAGCACCAGTGTATTTTTGAGTAAACTAAGTAGAAGGAATAATCAAAGTTGATGAATGAATGTATATAAATATATTTGTTTCAAACTTTAAAAAGTGTAACTTTATGTGACATCAAAAAAAGTTCTAAGGTAAATATATACATTTTGTATGGGCGTATGTATGCATGCATGTGTGTGTATGTGTGGGTGCATATTCAGATGGATGAGTGAGTGGGAGAAAGAGTTAATTTGGGTGTGGGGGGTGGGTGCAACAGGCAGGTACTACACTAAATCAGCTCCGTTTAATTTGCCTAACTGGCCAACCTATTTTTTTTATTATTGCTGTCTTTGTATGTAACTCAGTATTTTTTCTTTCTCTTGTGACATCATTCTGTATTTTATTTTATGTCTTCTTTAGCCTTCACCTATTATTTTAATGTTCGTGTTTTCTGATGTTCATTTATAAATTGTTGTGAGTGACCATATCTGACACTAGCAGCATAGGATGGGGAGAATTACACTTTCAGTAAAATGTTTCTGTGTGTTATTCAGCACCGCCTAATGTTGCAGGAGGAGGGCTATATATATTTTATGCTTCAGAGAACACTATTTGAGAAAGGCTAGAAATAAAGTAAGGAATTCCAGTGAAATGTGACTAAAAAGCTTAACGAAACAGGAAAGAAAAAAGTACCCAAAACAATATTTCGGCCAGTGGCCTTTCATAAACAAGTGACTAAAAAGCTTAACGAAATGAGGAAGCAGAAAAAAGGTCTGACTGCAGTCACCCCCATATTTTCACCACTTTTCAGAAACATAGTAGGAGGTTGTGCTAAAAGACCAGTCAACTAAATGCCATCTCCATAATGAATGTTGGCTGCAAAGGATCTCCAACATTTTCAGTCTTTTGTCTTGGTTGTACACTCTCTGAGACTGCTGTTTATAATCTCTTGATGCTATCCTGTCACATGTATTGCTGTCTGCCTCTTATTTGCTAGCTTTCCAATTTCCTCTCCAGAGTGGTTTTTATAAAAGTTATTCTTTTAATGTGGCCAAAATATATTGCTTGTCTCTTTTATTTCAAATTTCCTTGAAAAGTTTTCCTCCCCTCATTCACAAGTCTCTTCAGAACCTTTGTATTTGATTGTTTTCCCCATAAACTATGATCTAATCTTCTATAAATCTACATTTCAAGAGATTCAGTTTGACTTTCTAAGCCCTTATTTTAAAATTAATGTGTGATTGATTTATCACTTGATACACTGGTAATGTAATGCATAGATTAACATGACATTATATCACTGACAGAATATTCTGGTGTAGCCTGTGAGCTAGAGAAGGATCACTGTGCTGGTGATCCATGTAATGGAGGAATCTGTACTCAAAATCACCTGACTTATGTTTGTGATTGCAGTAATGGTGAGCGGGTACATTTATGGTCTATGCTTCTAAACATTATATTATATTTATAAATAATATATCCATAGTTATTAGCTATAGTAAATGATTTAAAAAAGTGGATTTGAAGCAATGAAAACAGTAGTGTGTATGCAAGTGGGCACAAAGATTTGACAAATTGTAAGTATTCTTTTCTCTAATGAGCCAGATAAAAAGAATTCTTCTCTGGACATGAATATTTATAATTGAAATATTGAACACACTGTATATCCCAATTATAACCGGGATGGGTTTAACAGGACATTGTTGTTAAAAGACTACTACTACTCTAGCATTTGGATGTCACGGGGAAATTACTAAATTATCTTTTCAAAAATACGCTTATGAGCATGTCACACATTTTAAATATAAAAATTGTATCTTAGAAACTGCATACTAAATCTAAGACTGCATAACATGATATATCGTGGCATTCTTCTAGGAATAGCACAGAAAAGGTAACACAACTCTTATTTGTCCATGACATTCTCCTAGGAACATAATAAAGGTAATATAATACTTCTTTATGCCATGACATTCTGCTATGAATAACATAAAGGTAATATAATCCTTCTTTATGCCATGACATTCTGCTATGAATAACATACAAGCAATATAATCCTTCTTTATGCCATGACATTCTGCTTTAAATAACATACAGGTAATATAATCCTTCTTTATGCCATGACATTTTGCTATGAATAACACACAGGTAATAGAATCCTTCTTTATGCCATGACATTCTGCTATGAATAACATGGAAAAGATAAATGCTTTACGCCATGACATTCTACTAGATACACCATGACATTCTACTAGATACACCATGACATTCTACTAGATACACCATGACATTCTACTAGATACACCATGACATTCTACTAGATACACCATGACATTCTACTAGATACACCATGACATTCTACTAGATACGCCATGACATTCTACTAGATATGCCATGACATTCTACTAGATATGCCATGACATTCTACTAGATATGCCATGACATTCTACTAGATATGCCATGACATTCTACTAGATATGCCATGACATTCTACTAGATATGCCATGACATTCTACTAGATATGCCATGACATTCTACTAGATATGCCATGACATTCTGCTAGATATGCCATGACATTCTACTAGATATGCCATGACATTCTACTAGATATGCCATGACAGGTGCACAGATAGAGCACTGCTCTTCTGATTTGGCAGCTTCTGCAGCATGCTTTATTATTCCAAATATGCTGGTGTAACCTTTTCTTCAGAGTAAACAAGGTAGGCGGACAGAGGGATCATGATGCATATGCAATAATGGTCATTTCAGTACTGCCCTGGTTTTGCGCTAGGGTGGGGGTAGGAGGAGGTATTGCTAGCTACACTTGCCATCACCATGGGCTGTGACTACCACGCATCACCATAACACAATATAACACTGTTGTCTGTAAAGACAAAAAAGTGCCAACAACAACGTTATAAAATAATATTAATTAACTTAGTTTTAGTCGAGGTTTCAGCATCACCACAATCCGGTTTCCTCATACTTGGTCAGTTCCTGTGCCAGTGCAAATCAAATTAAATGTCAAATAAAAGTTGCAATTAAAAAACTTGTGAACAAATCCTGGGACAGTCAAGAAATATGCACATGCAGTAAATGTGTTAATTCAGTTGCTGGAGATGCCAAAGCCAACAATCACCACCAGAAATGTAGTTTGTTGTTGATAGAAGTAGTCGGGCACGATAAGTTAGTTACTATACATACGAAGAATGAATAAATATGGTATTTCACCAGCTCACACATAAACCGGCTAGTGGCCACATTGAACTACACTGAATACCACAACACAACCGCTGCACAAATGAAAGGCTTTCCACAGGAAAAACACAGCTCACAGGGCTGCAACCAAGCACTAAAATCAGTAGCTCAGGCAGCGAAACCCCAGACTACCGTCCTTATGTGGAAACTGCATTAGCAAAGCTCTGTCAGAAGCAAAAATAACTTCAAATCTATACATTATGCCAAGCCATTCCTCCATTTTGGACGGAAATCTCTTAATTAACTTTTACACTATGTTTTAAATAAAATTAGCTTTCATTGCAAACATCACATTTAATGACTTCTTTAATGAGGACTTTGATTTTTCAGTCAAAGGTTACAGTGGTCAGAACTGCAGTGAAACAGAATTGGCCTGTAGTTCATGTCCAAACAATACAACACAACGAAAATTTAATGACACATATGGAAATCCCAGATGTGCATGCATTTGTCATGCAAATGAAACGCTTGTTGGGGACACATGTCAAAGTAAGTTTTGTTTTGTTCCTTTTTTTTTTTATGTTTATTTTTTAAAATCTTTGAATATGAAAAATCTTTCCTTCTGCTCTCATTTAAACTAGTTTAGAAATGTGTTTTTAGTGAACAATGCAGGTTAAACGTAGCTCCTGACAGAACCCACGCATGCCATTTAAAGACTGAGGCAGGATTTAAGTACAAATAAATATAATACTCTGTAAATCGGTGGTACACTGGAGATGACAATCACCACAAAATGGATGTTGTAATCGCCACAAGTCAGATAAAACAGTTTAACACAATTTACCAAGTGCGACATGTCAATTACTAACACTTGGCAGAAAGAGTAGAGACATTAAAATACTATATTTGGTATAAAATGCCATCCCAAAATTTAGAAATAATTTTTCTAGCACAGTGCATGTAAAAAAAATACCCCAATTTTAAACTAAAAATATTTCTTTTATATATTGTCTTTTACACAGAAAAATATTATACCTACTGTGAAACAAAATCTCAATGCCATTTTGCTGTCATTTACAGCTGTTGACAGGGACTATGATCTTGTATTTCTGGAGAGTTTTGCCAGCAAAAGCAAATTTGTAACTTCTGAAAGTGGTTTTTACCTGGACAAAAACACCAGCTTAACTATCAGCATGTGGGTGGCTGCAGCTAAGCTACTAGACAATGGTCAGTTTATACTGGCACTGAAGAGGTAATCTTTGTGCATGCATGCATGCATGTTTGTTTTTTTGTTTTTTTGTTTTATCAAAAGAGGTAATATTTGTTGTAAAAGTTACATATTTGAAATATTAAGTGATTACCTGTCAGAAATATTACTGAGCTAAGAACTGAATAACATTAAGATTTCTGAAACATATCAGAAGCATATTTTTTTTCTTCATTTTTCATTTGTTGCCCATACATTACTTCTTCTTTCGTTCGCTTGAAATAAATTATCTGTAACTGCAATGTTGTCTCTAGTATGAACTACACTGTCTTTTGTAATTCACTCAGCAAGCCGTAAAGTTTGACTTGCATGGATGTTTCTCTTGGCCAAGTTTTGCCTTGATATATTTTTTTGGGACAGTCTTGGAGGACATGATCCGTTGTCTCAGATGCCAATCCACATGTGCACATGGCTGATTCCCTGATTTTACATTTTGTGTACATGTGGCTGTGATGTGGATTGTGTTCTGTTCTGAGGCTTAGATTAATGACTGGCTCTGGTCTGTCCATGAAGGGGTAATCGATTATTCTCTTCTTTTGCTGATAAGAGTCTCGTACGTCAGGTTGTTCTTCATTTGCACCTTCCTTAGCTAGTTTATCAGCTCTTTTTGCCACTATAGTTTTTCAGTTATTAATGCATATTTAGAATCTGTCAGTCCACATTTTTCTTTTTCTTCTTAGCATTCATTCATTCATTCAGTAGCATGTCCCTCGCGGAACCTCGCTGCCATAACAACCCTCCGGAAAACCTTCCTATCATGAGCAAGATGTCCTGCGTCTGATACACCCATCTGGAGATCATCTGCCACATCCTGCACCCATCTTCTCTTAGCATTCACTGACTGTTAACTGCAGCAGACAGTTGTGTTTTCCATCCACTTTTAAACTTTGATCTTGTTCTAGAACTTGAGTGTTGCCTGCATATCCATTTCACATGTTTGGGTTAAGGAAAGTATTTAAGTGCATGTTTCTGTGTGCATGCATGTGTGTTTGTCCATACAAACATATTATCATGCGTGTATATGTGGGTTTGTAAATTGTTTCTTGATTTGCCATTTTACTTTTGTGTGTTATTTTTATTTATAGTTATTATTTGTGCTTTTTTTCCCAAGTATGTATAAATTAAATTGTTATATTAAAAATAATATCTGATGTAAAACTGTATTTCATGTATTTTTCAGTTCTGATATGAACAGCACTTTCTTGTCAGTCTTCAATACAAAGGTGCAGTTTACAACCAACGCTGATGTTTCCGTTGATTTTACTGAAGATATAGGCACCAAACATTCACTGGATGAGCGGTTTAACTGGCATTTTCTATCTATTGTTTGGTCAACAAATGGAAACTTGAGAATTAGGTTTGATTTCTTGAATCTGAATCAAGCAACAGTATCAGCTCTGCCACCATCTGAGAAGTAAGTATATTGCTCTATATGACTGAAATATTAAATAAATTTGAATTAGTTATGTCATGTGTTGCCTGGCCATTGCACTTGGTGTCTTGATGCTGTCTTATGACTAAATCAAAATGAATACTACCAAGAGAATTGTCACCAGTTCTTCCTCATTTAAATTGAAGTTTCTCCTTCTACTTCACATCAGTGATTGTCAAAGGATTGACAAAAATAAGTTTTCAAAGATGCTAATTACTTTTAAGTAACTTGTCTCTGAAAATTGCTCTAAACCAAATGGCATTACATAATTTGAAATTCTGTTGTTCTCAAGTATTCATGCTATACTGAAGACATGTCCTGATAGCCCACAAGCTTCCAAAAATGCTGTTTTTCAGGCGGCCGGAAAAAAACAACCTGAAAGACATCCTCTAAGTCTTTCAGTCCCAAGGAAAGCATCATACATTCAAGGGTTCTTATGTAGAAGCCTGGTAAATGCAAGATGCACGAATTTTACATCTCTCTCTGTTGCCTCTTGGACCTCTGACGCTAAAACCCTTGGACTGAAAAAAAAAAAAACGTCAAATTTCTATGGATCAGCACTATTGAAAACTACTCCCCAAGGTTAATCCACATGGGGTACATTTCTTCATCTTGGAGCAGCAGCCTAATTAACACTGGCAAAATAAGATTACCAAGCACTGTGGGACAAACCCTTACAGCTAGTACATCTGCCATCTGTTGCCCACATTGCTCAAAGAACTTTCTGGAATCTTATTTGTCACCTTAGAACTATTCATTATACTGACTATTGAGTGATCTTCCTCTCTTCTGATGAATGAAGAACTAAAGCTATGTACCGGCAGATTGAAGACAGTTACTATATTCTTGAAAGTTACATTTTATTATTGCTATCAAATATGTAAGGCAGATCCCTGATGTGCAGCTTTGGCTGATAATTAAACAAATTTGGGAGATCAGCATCATCATTGTCATGTAGCAGGTCTTTTGCAGTAAGTCACTCTCATTACAGTCTATCTGAAGGAAACTTAGTCTCTCGCCAGCTCTCCCACCTCATGTATTTTCATACTCAAGAAGTCACTTATATCCTGTTCTGATCTTCTTGTTGGTCAGCCCCTGCCCCTCCTTCCTGGAACCATGCCTTCTGCTATTATTTTTTCCTATCCGTCGTGGCGCGTAATATGACCAAAATATTTTATATACTGTTTATTAGCCAATCTTCCTTGATGTTCGGATCTTTCCTGATGTCGGTATTTCTCCTCTTCTTTGTCCAAAATATTCTGAGAATTTTTCTAAAGCATTTCAACTCAAAAGCCCCTTTTCTCTTTCTTAAGGACTAGGAGATAGCCCACGACTCACAAATGTATGTTGCTACAGGAAAGATGCATGCTCTCAAAATTCTAATTTTGATCTCCTTGCTGGTGCTTAACCATAGACTTTTAATGCTTTTAATCTTTGCATTGCTATGGCCATCCTCCTTTTAATTTGGGAGATAATTCTTTTTATTAGTTAGTTGGGTTGGGTGAGCATGCTAGCTTTCACAATTCACAGAACATATTGATGCATTTAGTAATTAGCATTAGGTCTTTTCCACAGCACCAGCCAGTTGTTTCAGTGCTATAGCTCTCAGTAACAAATGCATAGAGTTAAAAGATGTATCTAGCAGGTTGTTGGGATTGTATTGTTTTAACTGTTTTAAGAAGAATGACAAAAAACAAAACTATTCTGGTTCCTTACTGATATTGTATTTGCCATTGTGTTTCTCAGTACAATTGGTGTTAGTTTGTTTTTATAAATTACACATTTTTTTTTTTCTTTTCTTCATTTTGTCTTACTCCTCCATCTCTTTCTCTTCAGTTCTTACATTTTGTTTTCAAATCCTGTCTTCAGTTGTCCACTGTATTTTTTTCCCTTTCTCTCTCCTTTTGTTCCTTTTTTTTTATAACCTTCTCCATTATTTGCACTGTATAATATGGGATTTTGAATTTAATGAACTTCATTTGTTTAAAGACATATTGCACTAATTTAAGAGGTTTTGCTCTGTCTCATTGTATAATCCAGGTTTGTGTTTGTACAACTTGGACAGTCATTCTATGGATATATCTCCCAAGTTTCTGTCTGGAAAACAGCTCTGACTTCAAAGGAACTGTATGCATTGTATGGAGACAAGCTTGCTGTTCCTCAGCCTGACAGTCTACTTCTAGGGTGGACCAAGTATTCCTTCGATAGTTCAGTGAAGAGAACAAGGAGCTCCACAGCCACTGGATCACTGTCTATCTGTAACATTACAAACACTATTGCACAGATGGGACTGAATACACCAGAGTGTAAAAACATCAAACTTACAGGTGAGAGTAGTTTACTAATTTTTGCTGTATTGTTCAGGTAAGGAAGTCTAATTAGACATTATTGATAATTATGATCACTGGTCATAATTTGATATTCCAAACAATAAATGCAATAAATTGCTGTTCTTTTGGTCTTCTTCTTCAGCGTTCCAAGCCATTGAGGTTCATTGCTGCAGATATCACCCGCCCCACTCATCTCTCTGCTTGGCCTTTTCTTTCCAGTTGGTGATACCAAGTGTTTGCAAGTCTGTCTGGACGTTATCTTTCCATCATCTTCTTGGACTGCCTTGCAGTCTACAACCATTCGGCTCTCTCGTGTATACCGTTTTTACCTCTGCCATTTGACATTTTTTCAATATGACCAAACCATTTCAGTTTATTAGATCTCATGATGCCAGTGACAAAAGCTGATTTAAACAGATTATGAATTTTGCTGTTGCTTCTCACTCTCCATTCCCCGCTGTTTGCATCTTTGATGGGTCCAGAGATTCATCATCATACTCTATTTTTGAAAATTTGTATTCAGGCTACATCTCTTTTAGTTGTACCCCATGTTTCAGAGCCGTAAAAAAACGACTGGTCTTATCAACGTTTTATATATTTTGATCTTGGTGTTACGAGATAGAGACTTCTATGACTTTAACAGATGTTGAAGGGCATAGTGTTCTGTTGGTCTACTACATAGAAGTATTTGACCGAAATCATAGCCTGCATGACAATATGAAAAAAATAACATGTTTGTATTAAAGTATTTACACTGCTGCATCTCTCGACATTTAAGAAAAGAGAAAGATTTGGCCTAAACTGAATGTATTTTACAAATTCAGAGACAAAAAAGTATATCAAACTAAATTTCCTTCTACTCCTTCTCTCACATGCTTTCATCCCTAATAAAGTGAAGGGTCAAAACCAACTAACACCAGATACTTCGTAGATGTATCCATGATTAGTTGGATTCTCAAGCTAAAGTTTTATGTAAGAGGATGTAGTCAGCCTTATTCCTAGCCTTATCTGAATAGTACTAAATTCAGGGTGTGTTACAGTGTTATTTTTTTTTCCCCATATATGTCCTGGAAAAATGCAGATGATTGTTTTCTACAAATTGTTTTGTTATTTTGTCAGTTTAGGTAGTGTTAAATTAAAATTTTTTAAGGCCACTGTTTTGTTGAGGATGGTTCATAAATTAGATGTAAAATTATCTGTTTTATCGTTAGAATAATAATTGTGTATCTGATGATGGTATTGTAACATTATTGAAGATAAAACACCTCCAAAAGTCAACTACTGCAATGAGAGCACAGTGCTGCTAGCAGACTACAGTAAACATCAAGTTAACTCTAGCGAGCTGGGCTATGAATTTACAGATGACCATGATGGAAAACTGTTGATTGAAGGTAATTGACCAAACTGTTAATTTTTTTTTTTCTTGTTACATTCTACAAGTTTACTGTTTACTCTTCTCCTTGTTGTTACCTTTGTGTAGTTCACTTCATGTTTGACAAAGGCTGCCCAGATGAAACGTTACGTTTTTTGTGTTGTTTTGTGCACGTTTTTTTCTGCTTTCCCGTTTGGTTAAGCTTTTTTAGTCAAATTTTTCTGGAATTCCTTGTATTAGCTTGACTGCGGTCACCCCCATATTTTCACAATTTACAAGTTTACTGGCATGGCAGAACATGACAGTTTAAATACAATGTTTAACCTTGGTGCTTATGATTCAACTTCTTCTTTTTCTTCTTCATCTTCTTCTTTTTCTTCACATCCTCTTTTACCACTCTGGGTGTCGAGGAAGACATAAGGTTCTGCTTCTTGCTCTTTTGGCTGTCTCAACCATAGAGACATTATGCAGTTGTAGAGGTTCTCTAATATGTTCCATCTGCTTCTTTGTCTGCCTTGTGCTCTACATACTTCTCTTCTGTTGGTATGGTATTGTATGGCATCACAGTGCATTCTTTCCCAGTTTTAAACCTTTCAATTTGCTGTCCTTTTATATAATTTAGAATTGTTTCTGTGCTGATTTTTTTCTCTTTTCTTTTACGACCTCATTTCTGATATTATCTCTTCCTGTCACTCCTAAATCCCTTTTCAGACATCTAATTTCCATAGTTATTTGATTTCTTTTATGATTTGTTGTGTGACCATGTTTGGCACAAGTGGCATAGAGTGGAAATAAATATACTTTGTATGAGATGTTTCTTTGTGCTGACTGGGATTGTCTTATTTCTGTAAGAGGATAACTAGCTGTCCCAAATACTTGAATTGTTTTACTGCATCTGATGTTAATTTATTTATCTAATTTCCAATCTTCTAGATCCTTGTTACCATGTCAGCTAACCCCTTTAATTGTATTTTCCTCTTTCACATTATTTCAAACCACTTCTGTCATATTTCCCAGTCCTGCAATATTAAGGGTTGCAATCTTGTATTTTGCTTTTGTATGATTAACTGTTTATTTTGCACTGTTACACTATTTTCAATTTGAGTTTTCAGCTCTGACATAATGTGATTTTTATTCAACTGCATGGCATGTCATCATAATTTTAAACACTTAATAGAAAAAATGAACTTAATGGACAGTGTTTAAACAGATTGATGAAATGAACTTATTTAAAACATTAGATATATATTTGTAAGTGTTGTCACTGATCTACTCCTTTCTATCATCCCTCCAAGTATTTAGCTATCATTTATTCTATTTAGTGCTACTTCATGCCACAGGCTGAGACCTGTCCTCACGGCCATTGCTTTCAGTTACTTCAAGCAGTCTTCTTTATTCTGTAATAGTTTCAAGAATTTATCAGCAGTTTTGAGCAGAGGAGCACATTGGAGAGAATACCAGCCTTATTTATCCTAGGACGAGGAAATACAACATGCCAACCTAATGTAATGGCAGGGCTGACCATATCCTTAGCAATGGTTGGCAGTTTTCCTGACAGGCAGCTAGATAAAGCTCAGCTTCTTTAATCCTGCCACTTTAGCAGCAGGCCTGGTTCCAAACATATCAATGTTAATCTTTCTTTTGTGGTTAACAAAGCAAGCCTGACAGGGATCGTGCGGCAAAAAATCATGGTTTATACAGTTGTGTGCTATAGAGAGGAGAAACTTTATCCCTAGCCCTAACTGGTTTTGGAATCAAATCAACTGTGATGGTAGAAGAGCTTTTTGAATTTCACTGAACAGCTAGCCCCTGTTTCAAGCTGGACAACCTACAATAAGGTGTTGATCAACCACAGCATGTGTGCTTCTGTGGGTGCTTGGAACTAGGGCGAGCTCTGGATCACAGGCTGTAAAATACAATGCAAAATTCAATAAAATAAAAATAAAAATAGCTGGAAAGCTTTAAGACTATGTGTGTAGGGCTTTCAATCACTGACCTTGGAAAAACATTTTTGTGTGAGAAAACAGCTGTCATCAATGCTGAACTTAAAAACTTGATACAGATTCTGTTACCTTATGGAAGGAGATACACCTTGTCATTGTAGAAAATAACTATACTACTTCTTGAAAGGGTAGAGACCATAGAGAAATTCAACAGTAAAGAATGTGGCATGTGGTAAAGAAATTCGTGTCTCGATTAGTAGAGAGGCAAACTGAGAAAATTCTGACTTCAAAGGCAACATCCCTAATTAGGAGACTTTTATGACATGTTTGTTAGGGGGCAGTGGGTCCATTAATTTTTCCCCTGCAATTAAACCCCTGAATCCATATGGGGAGCCAAAAATTGAAAGTATATTTTGTAATATAAAACAGGTCAGTTATATTCCTATGGGGCCTATGATATTGCTGTCACCGCCAATGATTCAGCAGGGAATATTGGAGTCTGTATGACAAGGACTTACATTACCCGTAAGTGCTATGTATATTATGTACTTTGTAATATCTGTGAAGTGTTAAACAACTATTTAGTGTTTTTATGTGTAATGTATTTATCACTTTAAGGTATAGTGAAGAGGATCATGGGCAGATAGTATTTTGTTAGTGAAACATTTAGTAGAAGCAACTCATGACAAAGAAAATTTGGAAGAGAGAGTGGCAGATGGAGACCACTAGAAAAGATACTGGACAGTTTGACATGACATAGAAGAACACATGTATCAGAAAAGATGACCATTGCTGTGCAGTATTGACTAAGAAAAGATATTTATCATTCACATTTGAATTAAGCAAAGCTACATTTTGTGATTACTAACTAAATTTTATCTTCCTGATGATAGTATCAATAGAGACATGCAACAACAACAACAACAACAATAATAACAACAACAACAAAACTTTATGAGATTTACTAGGTCGATGATGACTGATTTGATTAAGTCAGCCTATAAATGCTTTTTAATCTCTGAAAAATAGAGCATCCTGTGTCAGAATGAAAAAAAAAATTGATGAAAATAGATAGTTCTTGATCTGTAAATATTATTTACATTTAGGTGCTGCATTATCTTAAATATAAAGTGCTAACCTGTTTCACTGATTTTTGCTGAAACCTGTATCTCATAAAGAATAGAACATATAAAGCGTCCACTTTCATACCATTGTGATGTTTTTTATCTACTGTTATTAACTATGAAAACTTTTTTAAAAAAAAGTTAGTGAAGATCTATGTAAAGGACACATTTCCACACCTTGAGACGAACTTGAAACGCTGCCAGACCATATTTTTTTTATAGATCGATCAACATTCATGAGAGATATGATCAGTATTCAACCAGCTAACTTTACTTACCTGAAAATCAAACTGTTTTTTTCAGGAATCACTTCATTTCTGGGAACTTGTTGATACACACTTACAAAACACATAAAGTCTAGTCTTCATTTTTTTAAAATCACTTTTAAGAATTTTTTATTTTTTATTTTGGGATTTAGTTTTTCAAAACAGCATCATGAAAGAATGTTTTATAGCTTGTGTCTGAATTCCCATACAGAAAATCAATGCAGTGACACAAAGCCATTGCCAGGATCTGCTGCACAATGTTCTGACAATCTAGATGGAAACAAAGTGACTTGCCCACCTGACATGCTGCCTAGTGTTCCAACACCCAACTTTGTCTCCTGTAGCCACCTGCAGACTTACAATCTGGATGATATGTATGAGAAACCTGATAGAATTGTTTGTGGAGGTGAGTTATAAGATATATATGCCTAAAGTAAACTTTCTGATAAAAGAGTGTTGAAAACAAGAGTGACTGCAGTCAAACTTCTCCAGGAAACTAAACAACCAGATTGTGGCTTGTGCTAAGAAAGGCTCCAGCTAAAACTTTGTTTTTTTTTAGTATGTGTACATTGTAAACCCCCCCCCCCCCCTCCCCACCCTTTCCGTTAGGTTCTTAGTCACCACAATTCATTGGATTAATTTCTGTTTAAACATTGTAATAGTTTTTTTAATATTGAAACAGACACATACCTTAATCTTCATTATCAAGCAGATTAGCACATTTAATCAGGCTACACAGCTAGTGACCTCTGGCAGTACAACATAACATAACCCTTGACCCGTTAGGGTCATGGAGATGTATAGATGGAAGCACTTGCACACAAAACCTGCCATCTTTCTCTGTCTTCTGCTTGATGAATAAGTGTATGATAATTTAGACCTGTTCATTTCTGGATGTTGTTATTTCAGGTTCTTCTTTGTCCTCCTCTTTTTTGACCAACCTCTAATGTTCCTTGAAGTACAGTCTTTGCAGTCGAATCATGTCTCATCATGTGCGTGCGACGTTTCACCACTGCCAAGAGAGGCTGCTGATGTCCCGCAAATTTGTCTATTTTGTCTCTGACATATTTGTTAGTTTTGTGATCTAAAACATTATTTTGTAAAATACGCCTGTAACATTTGCATTTGAAAGCCTGAACCCTCCTTTCCATTTCCACAGTGAGAGTCCAACGCTCGCATCTGTATAAAAAAAAACAATACACAATACCAGTGATTATACCAGTGAATGCCAGTTGCATTATGCATCAGTTCATGTGACACATCATTCTGTGTCTTGATTAAAGGTGTCAAAAGTTATTTTACACTTCTTTGTTTCTCTTTCCATAAATCTTTCTAGTTATTCCAGTATTTACAGTTTTTTTTTCTTTTCTCATAAAATCACCAATACATTATGACTGCCTCTTTATCATGTTTGTGGTAAGTTTGTGTACCTCAGCCTCTTTCAACAGATTTAGATATTTTATTTGCATAAAATACTTTGACTGATGGAATTTCTGTACTTGTCCTAAATTATTACCATTGACTTTGATTGTCTGTTTTTTTATTCTGTTCGACCACAATCATTTCTATGATATAATCCTTACATCTGTCTTTGCAATATAAATTATTTTGTTTCATATGTTTAGAAACTTCTGTTTTATAAATTCAAAAGTAAAAAATTTCAATTATTAATTTTGTTAAATTGAAAAGTGAAAAGGATGAAACCTACATAATCTGACTACAGATCAAAGACCAAAGATAATAAATGTTTAAAAAAAAGTGTTCCTTAAATGTCATCTGTATATTTCATTTTCTCCCTAATGTGATCATATAGATAGAAAATGGTGTGAGGATTCCGCAGTCGCCCAGGCATGCTAAGGGTGAACTCATGTGTTTCTCAAATCCTTTTAATATCCTAAAGAACTTTGATACTGCAAGTTTATTTTGCATAATCCTTGTAATACATTGTACAAATCGTGAGAAAAAATATATTTTTTCCCTAAAAAGGCAGTTTCAGAAATTAGGGTTAATTTCTGTTATATTAAAAAAAATTTTTTTTAAATAAAGACAAAAAACAAAACTTGTGACTTTGGGCCACCCAAAGAATATGCTAATATTCTGGGTGGAGAGTCTGCTGAAGAGCAAACTCATTAGTTCCTCTCCTTGTCTCCACCTATTAAAGATAATGTGGAAAGAGCTGAACAATTGACATATAATCTGTTGTGTGGATGCTTGCATATATTTACACACACAGATATACATTCACATATATGTATACATATATTGCACAAAGACACCCTCACATTGATACATAGGACACTGTATTCAGTATAAAGTAAATTATTAAAATAAGTTTGTGATTTTTAGAAGTTCAATATTTTAACCTCGAGAAACAGCGGATTAAGTGGTTTGGCCATCTTGTTAGAATGCTGCAAGATCAAATACCATCACAAGCACTACATCTCAGAAGATCAGTTGCAAGAGCAAGAGGATGGTCGCGGAAAACATGAATCGACAACATTAAATACACTCTACGCCTTCACGGCATGACAATAGCCAGTGGCAGCCAACGTGCACTGGATCGCAAATTATTCCTCCCCACATCGCTTAATGGCATAAGTGGTTTATGATGATGATGATGATGATGATGAATATTTTAACCTGAGGTGTTCTCATTTTCTTTTTAGTGAGAAAACCCCTCTCTGTAACTGTGAATGTGACGTTGCCATATCAGATCGTTGTAGACTGTCATGAGGACACTGTGGTAAAAGAAATCAATGGTCACCTAATAGCAATAATAAAGAAACTGAATAACACATGGAAAGGTTTGTGCATTGACACAAACTGCAGCAATGTGAATTCTTCTGGACACTGCACAGGAAAAAGAAGCTTAACAGCTAATGTACAGATTGGTGGTCTAAAGTGAGTGTATGCTTAAGCTAAACAATTATTTTTTCTTTTTTATTTTGCTTTTTGATAATTTTTTAGATGTCAGTTATGAACTTTTGCAGTACCAGATATATTTTTTTTTCATCGAACACTGGCTGTGAATTCCAGTGGAAGGTCAGGTTAATCATCCGCTTGGACTTTTGGCTTTCACCTGGACCTGATTTTTGCGTGTACAACCGTTTTTCATTTCCCTGCCTCATGGGCAGCTGTACGCCGACTTCGAAGGAAGACGTCAGGCCTATTTCTAGGGTGACTGTGGCCATTGTTTTGTGTGGGTCGAGACGTTGCCTGATTTGTGTGGTGTCCACTTTGTCTCCTTTGCCGCAGGTATTGCCCCCGGAGTACCCCTTTGGGTCAGCCCCCTGTGGAACAGTTAGCCCTCAAGGGAAGGCAGGGGCAGATCATGGGCATTCCCCGCCATCCAAGGAGGCATCCATGTATGCAGAGCCGGCACATGGCGCTCTGGTTCTGGGCTCACCCAAGGAATCGTCACGTCCTGCACATGCCTGCTTAACCTCACAACCGTATCAGGCCTCCCGCTTGACAGGGGCTGCGCCCTCTGGGAGTCAGCGGGGAGCAGCCCGTGGGTTTTGGACTTTTGTGACCACGCAGATAGGTACATTCTTTTTTCTTCGCACGTTAGATTTCTTTGACGAGCCATTAGCCCGACAGAATTTTACATCCTGCATCAGGCATATCGTTATCAGTTTTGTCCCGACACTCGGGCGAGTGGTGTCTTTGGGTGTGGACATTCGGTCTTTTTCAGTTCAATACAAATTTTGAGGTCGGATTTTGATCCGTATGATCTAGTTTTGTCGGACATTTAGGCTTAGCCAACCGATGGGTGGTTGCTGTTGTGGTGTACCACAGCGCGGTGACGACGACACTGAGGGTTAACCAAGGATGTACATGAATGGCCAGCCTGTGGATGGTTGCTGTTGTGGTGTACCCCAGCGCGGTGACGACGACACTGAGGGTTAACAGAGGATGTGCAGTGAACAATGTTCTCTTTACTCCGCAGTCTTTTAACCAAGGGTTGTAATTTTGGCTGTACGTTTGGCAGACCTACTCATGTTCCTAATGAGTTTTGATAACATTTTTCACCCAAGCGTTTGGGGGCGGGCTGATGAGAGCCACAAGGACACATCACCTCTGGGGGCCGCCAAACTCCGAGATCCCCTGACAGCTCTGTTAATGCTCATTTGAGACATTATCCGTGGCGCACGACGAGGACGTGCTGCCGGGGTCTTGCGTGAGGTTCCGTACAACCAGGATATTAAAGGACTGGCGCCCGAGTGACGTACGGAGTATCTCCTTATACACATCATGTTGGACTTAACTTCCCCTCACGCCTGTGACATAAATCACTGCGCCACACCAGATATATGTTATGCAACATTTTCCATTCCCAAAGCTGTTTTTAGAAAATATAATCTTTTTGTTTTATGCACTTAAACGTTATATAAATATAAAATGGGGTAAGTTAATGATTATTCCTAAGTTTGAGATGGACCCACATCTCCATGTGCCAAGCAAGTAACTGACCATGGTAGATCACTGGTCATTACCGTGGAATGTCTTATGTTCAGTGCAGCACAATGCATATAAATCTGTTTTATGCTCCCTGGGAATCTTCCCCCAGCCAGCAGTCCCAACTTATAGAATCCAGAATGTGGATCTGGGATGTATTATGTCATTATGTCATTACCTTGAAATCTACTATCTTGAGATCAGATGTCCTCAGAATTTGAATTTTTTTGCCATATTGCTTTACAAGTGTGCAAGAAAATATTCTAGAAGATAAAGTGACTGCTTGCAAACTCTGATGAGTGACGTTTGATCAAGGAAATAATGAACATATCACCCTTTCCTCAGTATACCATGTTGGCATGAAAACAAATTTCTTTGCTTCTAAAATAATCTACAATGTAAAATTTATGTCATTAAGATCTTTCATCTTTCAAAAACAAAACTGAGGGTGATATTGTTACAATTACGTTTAGCTTTAAGTTAAGGACTATTTTCATTTTGCATGTTTTATTTTGGTCCTTTCTTGGAAAGGGGGGAGGGGGTGGGGGGTTGGTATTATGAAAAGACTCTTTTTCCACACCTTTAGGCATAATGGGTATATAAGGCTAGACCTATATTTTATAGACTAATCGGCACTAGGTGGGTGATAGGGTTAGCATCTTGTCAGATGTCTACTTCCAAGGAGTGTACCTGGTACCTATTTAAAGCTGGTTAGGCATGGAATCCAAGGTAATTTTTTTTTTTCAAGTCTTGCTCCATCAGAATTGCACCCACAACTTTTCTCTGCAGGCAAGTTTCTAGCCACTGCACCATAGTAGGCCCCCCTTCCCCTGTATCTATAGACCAGCTAGCATTCAAGGGGGTGATAATGTCAATATTGTAATGGCTGATTCTTAGAAAATGTCATGGTAACCATCATAGGCTGGTTGAAAAGGAAACTGAATAAAAATACAAATCCCTCATCAGTGAAGATTTGAACTTACTGAGCCACTAGACAAGCATAATGTAAGCACATAAATAAAAATTGTCTAATGCCAGAAGATGCAAATAGTGTTCCCTTTTCATCTGTGTCATTAAAAATTGCTAAGATATGACAGTTTTACTGTCGCTGTTATGAATATTGCATGCTGAAATTGATGCAAGTCATAAGATTTCCTGAAATCTGGCATTATTTATGTTTCAGTGTATCTCTGGGTGCACCAGGTTATCCAGCAATGACCCCTCTGGAGATTATGAAAATGGCTGTTTCTGGCAAAGATACCTTCAATATTTCTGTTAGTTGTCGCTTATTTTTAATTATAATTTTTTGTTGCGTGTGAATTCAGTTATACTTTGATATTTCAGTCTTTCTGTGTTTATGTAGCACAATAGTGGTTTATTTTAAGTAATACAATAATTTATTGAATATGCAAATTAAAATGCATAAAAGATTACATACATTTTACAATTCCAAAGAAAAAATTTGCTCTTTTTCTTGAAAATAGTATTTATTCCTGGATTAAATCATCTTTATTAGAAGCGGGAAATAATTTTTTGAGGAGAAAATCATGTTTAAAAAAACATTTTAAAAAGTTGGTTGCAAATCCTTTGCAGTACATCACAAACTAACTCCATAATTTATTGGCTGATTGGGATTTTGTCAGCATCTGTGGTATTTTCTTCTTCTTCTTCTTCTTCCTTTCTGCTTCTTTTTCTTCTTCTTTTTTTTTTCTTTTGTCATCTCGTTGATACCAGATTGTAGCCAAGTGTTTTGGTTTTGTGTTTTTGTCTTGCACTTTCCAGGTGGCTTTGGTGATGGATTTGTTCATCTTTTTGCAGGTTTCAGCTACACCATTTATCCATCTCTTCCTTGGTCTTCCTCTCGCCTTCCTCCCAGATGTTCTGCTGTAAAAAAGGGGGCTAACTGGTGGATCAACATTAGCCTTCTGTACTCTGGCCTCTATCTATCAATAGAGTCTGCCATCCTCCATAAATATTCCTCTTAGATATTTGAATTCTTGTACTTGATTGATTCTAGTACTGTTAACATAAACCTTTATGATATTATGTTTCCTGTCTGCCCTTATTACCCCAGTTTTTGCGATGTGAATTATCATATCATACTTTGTGCACGTTTAACGTAAGGAGTGTCTGTGGCTTAGACATTGCAAAGTGCTTCATAATGTCAAGGTGCCGTGTTGTATCCCAGTTGCAGGCGATTTGGCACCAGACCACCTTGCATTGGTTTTAACTGGTATTGAGAGATGACAGTGGTTTTGAGAGCCAGCCATTCAGAAAGTAATGGCAAACTGCTGAACATACATTTGCCTAGAAAACCGCAGGGTTTGGTTCTGCAACTTCCTATAAAGTACACTAAACTGAACTTTTTAAAATGATTTAACAGTGTTATAATGAATAGTATATCACTGTCCCCTAAATGGTCATCACTCATACACGTGTTGAAATCGGTACACAGCGGTCTCGAGCCCAGTATGTCAGAATTATGAAACTGTTTTTACTGACCCTAATACGGGCTCAGGAACACCTGTTAAGCTACTATATTTGCCCCAATTATTTATATGCACACATTAACTTCATTACAAGTGACTTTCATAAGAATTTGACCTATGCATTGTTAATTTTTCAGGGAGTAGCTGATGCATATGTTGAGATCGAGAAGACAATAGTTGATGAAATGTTATCATGCACCAAAGGATACTCTCTCTCAGGAATTTATTGTGGTACACATTTTATCTTATGTTAACTTTTTAGTTTGCAGGACTAGAGATAGAATTATAATTATTGAAAAAAAGCCAGATATAAGGAAGTCATAATTAAATTTAGCAACTTCTTTGCTTTATTTGCTAAATCTTATGTGGAAAGTATTCACAGAGGAGCAAACACAACAAGCAGTCTTCCAATCTTCAGCTGAAGTCCCACTTTAACAAGTGTTTTGGCCTCTTCCATTATACTCTCCAGGGAAAGGCTAACCTGGATAATGACCCTTGGATTTTGGGACTCTCCTGATGTGCTTTTATATCTGTACAACAACAACAACAACAACAAGCAAGATACCCGTGACCATGACTGATACTTGTTTATGATGGTCGCCACTAGCAGTGTATATATAGCAGCCATCTTACCCTCTGGAAAGTTACCCTTGGTCATATTTGCTGTTACTGAGCCACCTTCTCTAGGCCAAAAGCCTTTTTTGCCAACCTGTCTCTGGGTCACTATTACACCAGATGCTACACAGTTGCCATGTTCCTTTCTTGCAACCTGTTTACCCCAGCCATATGTGGAAGACTGGAGACTCAGAACTCATGCCTTGTGGATTAGCACCCAGAATACTGAATGTATGCTGCAGAAATCCTCTGCATATGCAGTAGAAAGATCCAAGACCCGGCTAATTGGAATTCTGGTAAAAACCAGGCTGTGGGGATCAGTGGAGGACATGTGTTACACCATAGTCTTCATAGAGGCTTATGCCCTTCTCATCAAAAAGCTATTGGTAGTGAGAACTAAATGATTTGTTTTTATTTAAAACCCACTGCCAATTAAGAAGTGTATTGTACACACTGAGGGGATCATTATGAATTTCAGCTTTACATCATATTGCAGAAAATTGAATATAGAACAGAAAGTGAAATCTATAAATAATTGTTATGATGAGTGAGTGAAAAGACAAGATGAGTCAGTGTAGTAAGGTGACTAGTATAACAATAAATCTGCCTGTGATGGTGATTTGTTAGTATAAAACCAGCCAACTGTATTTGTCAAAAAAATGTTTGTGTTCAAATCTGAAATTAATTTTGTTTTTAATTTTTAAAAAATGCATTTTCCATTTTTTTTTTAACATAATATATATATATATATATATTATATATATCTGTTTTCTAATTTGGTGTCTGCTGTTTGGTGATCTTCTGCTTTCTATTCTTTTCAGGATGTATCCAATATACTGTTAACTTCTCTGTCTTTCAACTATTATTACAAGTGGCTGCCCAGACATTTTTCTTGTGTTTTTTTTTTCACTCCTCTTGAATCCATCACATTTTTATGTTCAACTTTTTCCTGAGCCGTTTTTTTTTAAATGCGTTTAATTTTCATTTCATGTCTTTAGTTGCTCTCAAATTTTCACTGGTTTATGTTAAATGTAAATGACATTAGAATTTAAAAAAATACCCTGGTTTTAAAACTATACATTTTAGTGTTCAACAAATTTCTCTAAAAAAAAGTCTGTGGGTATCTATGTAACGAGTAAGACCATACAAAGACCTATTAACACTTAATCAAAAAACTGCCTTTATATCATCACAGGCTAAAAACAAATACAGCTAGTTCAGCATTGTGCCTTTAAGAACGCTCTTGTACAAAATTAAAGTGCAGAAGACAATACATTTGGATATACCGGTCATAACTGGACAGCAAAAACCTAGATGTAACCCAAATACTGGTAAAATACGCTTATTACCATTACAATGTACAAAGTGCAGCAGGGGTTGGTATTTCAGTATCATCTAGTTTATGCTATACTTATTATTTAATATGTAACAGTATATTTCATAAATTTCTAATAATAAACTAGTTATATTGATTTCTTTTTTAAAATCCATTTTAATGGAAAATATGACATTTATCTTTTGTATAGTCCAGTGTGGCCCTGGTTCATATTATGATGAAGGAGAACAGAAGTGCAAGTTGTGTAAACTGAACATGTACAGTGACCATCCTGGCAATAGTTCATGTACAGCTTGCCCTTCTAACAAAGTCACACTTCAGAGAGGAAGTTCCAGTTCTGCTGATTGCAAAGGTGAGACAGAAGTGATCGCTAAACTTTCCTGAATCTCAACAGATTTGGTTTATTTTGTGTGCTTTTTAAAAAATAATAATGTGCATACTGGCATGACAAAGTTAGTTGCATCTCCTTTACATGATGCACCAAACCTACCCAGGCATTTGTTGGCTGTGTTATTCCATGTCTGGCTTCTGGGGCCCTTTTTAGCCGGGGTAATGGGTGAGTGGGAGGGAAAATCCATCTGCTCCTCAACAAGCATGTCATAAAATGGGAGCAATTTGATATTGGTATATAGATTTATTAAATATGTTGGGAGAAAAAGTTCAGATATTACAGCCACAGCGTGCCACCTGGGCTTTTAGGGTGACTGCAGAATAAGCTGGCTGTTTGTAGTTTACTTAGCAATTTAACATTAAGTAAATAGGGGGTGGCTGCAGTCAAGCTATTGACAAGAAATGCTAAATACAACATAAAATGATCTTTCAGTTTTGTAATATAGCCCTTTATGTCCATATTTGTTTGTGTTGTGTAATTCTTGGCTTCATGTTGACGTTGGTTGTTTAGAAGCTCTGTTGTCCTCTTGAGTTTTCCAGTTATAGTCTGTGTTGTACTTAGTACTCCACTGATAAACACTTTTGTCAAAAACATTCAGTTATATTTCTATACATTTTTTCATTATGCTTTCTAGTTACTTTTTTTTTTTTGTAATTAAGACTAGTTTAAAATTAGATAGTGTTATTTCTTCTGAGCCTTTGGACACTTATAACAACTTTTTAAATCAACATAAAGCATTCAACTAAACTGCCTGAAGCTGTATAAAACCTGATAAATTAAGAAACTATTTATAACCCCTAAGTTACAGATGTTGACCGTGGCTTTCATACACACCATACAACAAATCTACAGCATCAGTTATTTACAGAGAGAAATTCATTTTTAAAGTTAAAATGATTTGCAAAATGTGCAGCCAGTGAGATTATAAGTTTCACAAGCAGATATTTTCTTCTCACAGAAAAATGTCCAGTGGGTCAGATGCTCAACCTCACAACAAATACATGTGTGTCCTGTCCCAGAAATTTTTACCAAGACCATGAAGGCAAGAGTTATTGTTTCCCTTGCCCGCCTGCTACAGAAACTGTCAATAATGGGACCATAAGTCAAGCTGACTGCAGAGGTAATTAATTAACTCATATGGATATAACATTTTTCTTATCTCCAAGTTCTTTGTTTACTTTTCGGCATTTAGTCTTTACTGGGTGTTTGTGGAAAAACCTTTGTTAGGATCTAAATGGATGCTTTCTCAGTGTCTCAGTGAACATGCTACAGAAGATCAAGCTGGGTATATACAGAAATGGCTGCTCCATCTGATTCAGCAGACAGTGCTTCACAAAATCACCTTAATTTTTGTCCAAGGTTATGCTGGTATGAAAGGCAACGAGAGAGCAGATGCCCTGGCTGGCAGTGCGACTATCAGTAATGGGCTGTCTATGGATAGGAAAGACATCATCAGTGTCAGTGTCATGCGAGAGACTAAACGTTATGAAGCTTTCAGTTTCGCGGAAAATGATTTTTTACCTAATGGACTGCATACCCTTGGGGTACCAATTGGACAGTAAGACAGAAAGGCCATGCAGGAGCCAACCTTTGTTATATCAGCCAGAACACAATGGGAGTTGTTAGCCTAAAAACACTTGGAGAGATACTCGGGTGGAGATGGGAGCACTTATGATCACGTCCGATGTGCAGTGAAGATGATCTTTAAATGAACAATGAACAATGAACAGCTCCTTCTCTTTCTTTAGGATCTCCTAACAAACCTTAGGATACTGAAAGAGTTTAGCCTTGTTATCTAAAATGAAAATTATACATAATGTTAACAGAGCTCAGATTATAGGGATTCAAACACATCAAAAGGCCAGCAGGCATACATTCTGGAACCTCTACTACCATAGCACCTGTTCTTGACACTTAAGAAGTATATAATGATGATCTGTCTTTTCTATCTTGTCAATATGATTAAAAATACATTGCTGTTTTGTTTCTGTACAAGTTACTCTTTACTTTATTCGTTGTGGTTTTTGTCAGAAATCTGTAAACCTGGCTCAGAACTGAAGGGTAAGGTATGTGTAGAGTGTCAGAGAGGATTTTACAGACCTGGCAATCTTCAGGACCCATGTACTCCATGTCTGATGTCAAATATGACAACAAGAGACAATGGCAGTATATCAGAGGATGAGTGCACTATTCGTAAGCTACATCTTTTGTTCTTTTATCTACATTTATGTTTAGTCAGTTTTAAATTCCTCCCTACATAGATCTTATTCTTGTAACATTAAATGTTAACATCCACAATATCTCCTTTCCATGCAGTGTGACATACTGGGATTGCATCAAACTGAGGTGAATGCAATAAAGCTATGAAAGTCTAAAAATGAGAGAAATGCTGAAAGTATATGCCAGCTTTACGGAACTATTTGAAAAAAAAAAACGATGTTGTGGTGATTATCCTTCATCAGCAGAGCATTGAAAAGAAACAAAATTGGATTGATCACAGAGCCAAAAAGTCACAGAAAAATCTCCATCTCTAGAGTGATATGATCCAAGGACCATAGAGCCAGCAGGAGAATATGTTAACAACTGTACTAATGTTGCTCAATATAGAATACACTGCTGTTCCTTACATAGCTTAGAAGTAGCTTTATTTTCATAAATTACACAAGTTATACTGAAAATCTTTCTGATAAGTTGCACATTAATTTTCAAGTGACCACTGTGGATCTCTGTTGTTTTGTTTATTGTATTTGCTGTTTTATGTGTTGTTTTATCCATGCAGTAGTAAAAATAAAGCTTTTCTCAATGCACAGAAGATAAGCTTCTGGCCTTTACATACTGTAGGTCATAACATTAGTCAGGGTTTCTAGATCACATCCTTGTTGCTTTTCATTAAAAGGTAGTTCTAAGAAAGTTCTGAAAATTATCAGGTACCCATTTTATGAAGCTGTGTCCAATCCTAAAGCTGTTTTAATTTAGTTTTAATTGAAAAAAAAAAAAAAAAAAAAAAACATTCAGCTGATCAGCTGAGATTGAACCCTGACCCTGACATGTCTTGGTAGGCAAATGCATAAACAACTATCCCATTGCCACTTTGGTATAACATGGAATAACTACTTACATTGCTTTACTTCTCTTCAGAAATGCATTAATAAAAAGTTTTCTGGTTTTAACTCTTTTAGTAAAAGTAAATGCATTATTAATATGGTTTCTTGTTTTAACCCTCTCAGTAAAAGAGAAAGTAAATGCATTAATAATATAGTTTCTGGATTTAACTCTTTCAGTAAAAGTAAATGCATTAATAATTTGGTTTCTGGTTTTAACTCTTTCAGTAAAAGAAAAAGTAAATGCATTAATAATATAGTTTCTGGATTTAACTCTTTCAGTAAAAGTAAATGCATTAATAATTTGGTTTCTGGTTTTAACTCTTTCAGTAAAAGAGAAAGTAAATGCATTAATAATATAGTTTTTGGTTTTAACTTTTTCAGTAAAAGTAAACGCATTAATAATATAGTTTCTGGTTTTAACTCTTTCAGTAAAAGTAAATGCATTAATAATATGGTTTCTGGTTTCAAATCTTTCAGTTAAAGTGTTGAGTTAAGGTCCCTGAAAATGCTGGTGGTGCATTGGGCACATGAGGCTAGACTACATTTTATAGGCTAATCTGCCTCAATTGGCAATGTGGTCAGCATCATGCAGACCACCTTTACTTCCCATGACTTTACTTGGTATAATTCGAGGTTTTTATTGACCTGGTAGACAAATCTGGCTCCATGCAAAATTGAACTCACAACCTTTGGATCTGCAGGCCAGCACCTAACCGCTAAACCACGACCGATCTAACTCTTTCAATACCAAACAGTTATTACTTTAGGTTGTTCTATTCTTTAAAAAAAAGTTTTTATTTTAATCAGTGCCTGGGTTTGGACTATAACATAATAGCAGAGCTAAAGTAAGAATTGAGGAGGGCTAACAGGTGAGGAAAAACAAGTCAGTGGGTTACAAGGAATTCTAAAAAATTGCATCCTCTCAGTCAAAACCAACAAATGCATAGTCAGTTACTTGGTACTGAATGATTTAAATATGTGTGCTAAGAGTTATGTTATTTGAAGTTTCGGGGCTTCTAATTCTAAATTTGTTTATGACACTAATGTAAATCTATACATCTAAATGTTTCTGCAGCTAGATGTCCCCCTGGACAATTTGTACAAGATAATGGCACCTTCACGTGCCAGTTTTGTGACTATGGGAAGTATCAACCAAATGAAGCAGAGTTTGACTGTATACCTTGTGTTATGAACTTCACCACAGAAAACAAGGGAGAAACCAATGTTTCCATGTGTCATTGTAAGTAAACTGTTAGTATGTTAAAACTATCTAAAATCAGGCAAAGGATGCTAGCATTATTATATTAACTGTCTGCAACAGAGTAGCATCACGACAGTATACTATCTTAGGAACAAACCTATTCCCTGTGTGGGTTTCTGTAGGGAAAACAAGAATAGACCAACTATCTTCCCCCACCCCAAAGAAAGCATTTTATATGGAATCCTTGGTAGCATGCCTGAAAGTCTCTTTTTTCTGCAGCCAATTCTCCAGCCCTGTCTGCTTTCCAAGCCATTGCATCTACAATGTCTTTCTTCCAGTTTCAACTATGTTTTTGATGGCAGTTCGTAGTAATTATCAAAGTCACAGATCAGAAATATCTTCACCTTCACTTCATAATTTAAAACAATCAAGAAAATATCCCACTGCATTATAAATATTCTGCAAACTGTTCCACCATGCTGGTCCTAATCTTCAGCCCCATTATGAAAATATGCGCTTAATGCTAAACTGACATGGAAACTCACCAAAAAAATTTGTGGAAAATTTACTATGAGCACTACCGAGCTGTGTCCCTTAACTCTTTGAGTCCCAAGGAATGCATCAAACGCTCATAGATTCCTACCTTGAAGCCCAATGAACACAAGATGTGCTGATTTTACGTCTCTATTGACTACCCCTGGATCGATAACAACTCTTGAACACCCCTTGAGCCTGTGATGCTAAACCCCTAGGACTCAAAGAGTTAAATGAACATAGCGAAGTAAACTGACTTACGGCATCAACTACATTTATCACAAAAGTCACAATTTTAACATGGCTGCGAGCATCCAGAGTTACGACTGCAAAGGGTGCAATCGGGGTGACCAGGCATAAGCGTTGGCAGATCACATCACGTGTGATCATGGTAGTGTAGGAGTGCTTTTACCTCCCTTTCCAGAAACTGTATCCTCCACATCCTCTCAGGGAGAGGCACTCTGACCAAAGCTCTCAGTTAGCTGACTCTTACAACATGTTATTTTGGGGAGGTATGGGGTCTGCTCTTGTTTTTCCCTAGTAGGGCCTTGGAACCAACACAGGGACATTTGTTAAATATCAGATAATTGGTTCTATTATATACAAACAGTAATGCCTCTCTTAAGTCTTTTGATCCTAAGCAATCATTTCTCCAGCCCCTTCTATCCCAAGAGGTTGAGCTCAAAAGCAGTAAACACTTAGTTCTGAATGAGTTAAGCAGGGACACTATAAGACAGAGTTGGTTAAACTAATAATTCAGATCAGTAAGGATTATTATCACAGCACTACTGGCAGATCCATAGGTGCTCTGATCTTCTCCTCAGAAGCTCTACAAGTGTTAAATGACTGATGACGCCTGTTCTGTGTTGATTAATGAAACGTCTTGTCCCCTTTGTGAAATGTTCACTTCTTGCAGCTCCAGGCTCCCTCTCCCCATATCCACCAGCCTAGAGAGGACTATGGAGTCATGCCTTTTGGAAATAGGCCTAATAATAATTCACATACAGGAGGTTAATATAACAACTGTTTGTGAAAGAACACAACAAGAACATTATGGTGTCTTTGATTAACTCAGAAACGTAGGGTGAGTTGATTGGTATTTAAAAAAGTTAAGAATTATCTCCTGCGCATGTTATGTTGTTTCATTCTTTAATTTTAATTTTTCAATTACTCAGTCTAATAAATGTTTAAAATATGTTAAAGCATTGCTGTCACCACAAAAGCGTAATCTTTCGTTGTTGTTGTTGAGTTGAGGGTACTGTTTTACATTTCTATTTTTGGCATGAAATATAAAGTGTTTCATTATTGCTCAGTGATGGGTATAATTAATGACTGAAACATATATTTGTAGTTGCATTAATTAATAAAATGTTTGATTTTGCATAGTTTTTATCTTTCTGGAATGTGTGTTTTTTTTTTTAAGTTGTTATGCCATAAAGTTGATTTATGTTTGTTATGCAAGATTTTTAATTTTAGTTTAGTCAGTCATATTGTGCATTATTTAATTTATGTAAAACAGGAATACGGACAATACATCTGAACGATGTTTTGCTGAATAAACATAAACAAGAACAATGATGTTGTAATATATCTTTTGTTTGCCTCACGTTTATCGATTTTTTTTTCTTAGTAAACTGCCCAGAAGGAAAAGAAAACATCAATGGGACTTGTGTCAGTTGTTCAGATGACCATTACAAGCAAACGTCTGGCTTTGACCAGTGCATGAACTGTACTGGAGATTTCACATCAACTCCGAGTAACAGGAGCTACTGTACACAAAGTAAGTTTAATTTGTCACTGTTTTTATATTTCGCAATGTCATTATGACAGCAAATTTGAAAAGCAGAAAAAAGAAAAATTTGAAACTCTTTTCTTTCTGTTGACCCTTTTTGCTTTCCAATAGCAGGTTAGAAAGATTTATTTAAACAAATTTCTTGTGTAAGGTGAGTAAAAAATGGTGTTTGTTTCCAAAGTAGGGTCCTGTCTCTGTTGTGTTAAATGTTAAAGCTGACTGCAGTTTGCTATTTTGGTGCTAGTTATGTTAAATGAGTGAAACAGCTCATTTGAATTCATAATAATGCTCGCTCGGAGGATTTGATTATTTGCACAAATGATTCAGTGTCAAGAGGCAAAAGAAGTGCTTGGGGTTTCTTAGCAAAAGGTAATGGTCGACGTTTGGTGCAGGAGAGCCTGGCATATTATACAACAACATCCAGCTTGGGAAGAATGGATTTGGAGGCGGTCACTGCAGCTTTCTGCTAGTTAGAGAACACTATACACATACACATTGTGATTGTAACTGACTTAAAAAAGCATGCTGAGGAAGGTCAGGACAGGCATGCTTCGTGCAGAGTGGCATGCTTCATTGAGGAGGACACGGGTCAGTACTGCCTGGATTTTTTCCACCGGGAGACGCCGATATGTTGGGAAATGAACAGGAGGACAAACTGGTTGGCTCTGCAAAACTTGGTGGAGTACTGATGCATGATAAGGCAGACGTGGTTAGTGCCTTGTGGGAGAGCGTGTACAGTTCGGAGAAGCAGATGGATCACCACAGTCTGGTGAGATTGATGCAGCGGGGAGTGACGAGAGGTTCTGGCAGATGCTCGAGGCTCAGAAGAAAGGCAAGACGGATGTTAAATCAGAATGCTACTGGCAGCATTAGTATCGGAACTCTTTGCTGGCTGCTGAAGATGGGGACGGAGCGCTTAGAGGAATGCGCCGAGTGCTGTGATGTCGGTTCTTGAATCAACACAACTCAACATCTCATTTGTTGTCTCTCAATATAAAATCAATTGCAGACATTTTATAATTATTCTCTATAATGCTATGCGTTGGATTCTTTTCTGCTAACTTATCTTGTATTTCAGCTGGTAGTTTTATCATCTGCAAAATTCCTAATTCGATTTATATTGTACCTTAAATATTGAATTAAACACATCTCTGCTGGTACTGTTTTAAACATGGTTACATTCACTGGAGACGCAATAAAACTTATGGAACAATTTGCTCTGACATTACAGTCTGTCATTTAACCATTGTATTTCCTCAATGTTTTTTTTAAATTAATAGTATTATTGAAAGATATTAATAGTATTATTGAAAGATTTATTACCCACCTAGTGCCGATGGTCTGTAAAAAATATGGGTGCTCTTCCCATATACCCGATACACCTAAAAGGCGTGAAAAGGGATTTAAAAAAAAAATTTTTGAAAGAGTCTAACAAAGGGACTTTCTCTCTACTGAAAGGAAAAGCATAGTTTAATATAACAAATCTGCTAAAAAATTAATGTGTAACCTCAGTTTGACTTTAGTCTGACTGACAATGAGAATGAAGAAGCCAGTCATTTAAAAAACAGTTAGGATTACAATCAATAACACACATACTCACATATATATCAGCTGTGGTAATATTCTACGTAGTATACTTAGCCACTCAGGGATTATTAACAGTTTCAAAATTCTCTCATACATAGTTAAATCAGCTGCAGACAGTTTGGCATCAGACTGTTTTGCATTGATTTTGACAATTCTGTGAATGCCAGTCAGAAATCAATGACAAACTACTGAACATATAATAGCCTAGAGAAACCACAAGCAGCCAACGAATGATGGGGTTGGTTTGCAATGTCCATTAAAGGATATGTGACTAACTCACATACTAAAACAAAGATCCTGAGTTCAATTCTTAGTGGTGACATGGTTACGTTATTCTGACTAGCATAACTCTGGGCTGACTCCGCTTGATTAAATTCCCAGGTATTTGAGTAACATACATAATTGCCATAGGAGCCACTCTTGGTGTAAAGTGGCTAGATGCTCAAAATGTCTAGAGTTCAGGTCCTGTTGGAGCCAGGCATTTCTTTTTTTTTAAAATTACTTTGGCTCCAAAGTTGACATATCCTTAAATTTATATGCCTGAAGATGTGGAATATGGTCTTTTACTTTTTACTTACATAATCGAATGACCAAATGCAATTATAATCCCATTTATAGTGTTTTGTGATGTGGGCCGGGAACTGATTGCTGGAAATTGTTCAGACTGTGACTATAGATACTACAAACCATCAAGGGGAAATAATGTGTGTACAGAATGCCCATTGAACACGACTACAGCCTCTAAAGGATCAACATCGGATCTAAATTGTTCCCTTGGTAAGTCTAGTAGTTTCAATGGACCTTTATAGTTATGGTTAAGGATTCATTGTCATCCTTGAAAAATCTGTGAATGTTTTTGTATCGGGTGTTTCATTCAGGGCAGAACCTAGTATTTCAATCATAACTCGGATAATAATTATGATACGGCAACGAAATTTGCAGTAGACGTACCTCCATTCATGTGAAGTCAGGTGACATTATAAAAATTTGCTGAAAATACATGGCATTCCATACTGTGGAAAGTCTGTCTCAGTAGGTCAGGTGATAAACGAATGAAACTCAAGGCCACAAGATGTTCGGCTGTCTGAAATACCAATGGTAGCCATTTCCAGCACTTCTTATGACATCACTCGATTTTGTGAGGTTGTTGCTCTGTTCATGATAAAGTCTTTAGCTGAAATATTTGATTGTTTCCGTGCAATTTTTTTTTCTTACCGTCTTATTGAGCTTCCTAGCCATAACTTGATTTCAGTGAATCAATTTCTTGATACCAAATTGACTGCAGCCCCCCCCCCCCCCTTACACCGTATTTCCAATACAAGTGGTTTGGGGCTTTCAACAAAGAATCAACATCATGGCACACGGGTGTAACCCATAAGTGCTCTGTTCTTCTTCTAACTCAAGTCTGAGTAAAAAGAAGCTCAGCACATTGCACAGGCTCTGTAGTACCGTCAAAGATCCTGAAATACTTTGTGTAGATTTTAAACTCCAAATTTTGCCCGGGCAGCACCATAGGCTACTATTTTCGATTTCCAACTGCCAAGGGATTTTTTACGTGCGCAACAGTGCACACAGGCATCAGATCCCACTACCCAAACACCAAGGGGAATTACTAGAAGTCCAAGTCCATATCCTGGGGATTTAACCCAACACAAGTGATATAAGCTGATGCCTGAATTCTAGAGATGATCAGTCAGCAGCTCCTTTACAGGACATTGCTCACCATTTGGCATGGCTGAAAGTCTCTCTTTCTCTAACCAGTTCTCCAGCCCTTTGTGCTTTTATTGCTAATGCATATTCAGTGTGTCTTGTATCCACCTTGGAGTAGATCAACCTCATTTTCCAGAACCTGCACCATTCATCCCCATTCTCTCCAAACCACCATGACATTTAACACTGCTAAAATACCTCAGCTTTCTGGCCAGGTTGCTTTTTTCTCTAGAGAGAAACCACACACAAATTTAACTTCAACCTATTCATTTTAATTGATGTATATGTTTCAGCATTTTGCCCAGCAGGAAGTTACCTAAATGAAAGCATCAACAACTGCTCCCTTTGTGAACGGGGCACCTTTCAGGATTCACCAGGCAAAAATAACTGCATCCCCTGCAGGTCTAACTACACCACTCATTTTGAAGGGTCATTTGCTTCGAGCCAGTGCTATGGTAAGTTTACCCAGTATTGGCTGTGAGATTTACCAAGTAAAGTAAATCGGTTATTAAAGATCCTTTTCCCCACAGTGATGTATTAGGCATACTGTGCTAGACTCAAATTTTTGTTCACAAGTCAGTACTTGGTGGGTGATGCGATCCACAGCAGACTGGCTGTCTTTACTTCCCAGGACTTTACCTAGTATCCATTGGGGAAAGGGTGAGAGGGAGGGATGATTGACCAGGGAACCAACTTATTTTTAAAAATAAAATCTGAATTGATGTGAATTCAAACCTATGATCTCTGGATGACATCTAGTTGCTATGTCACTGTGGCCTCCTAGTTACACTAGGTGAAGTTGAAAATAAAGAGGATCGACTTCATTGCACCGGGTTTTATGCCATATGGCAATACCATGTATGGTCATCTCTTGTTAGTTATAATGTCTTCTATCTTCCCCTCGAAGTTGGCATAGATGTGCTTCCCTATGTTTTACTTCCAGGTCATACAATCATGTCAGATAAGCATATTGTTGGAGATCAAAAGATCTGAAGAAACATGATGAAGAAAAAATTAATAATAATTCTGAGCCTTTAAAGTTCCCTAGTTTCTCTCCTATATTGAATGCTTTCTGTATTGGCAGTTTCTGAAAGCGTATATATTTTATTTTTGTTCCTTGGTGCTATGTAAAATTAACACTTATGAAATGCGATGCTTGAAAACAGCAGCCAACTTAACCATCTGAGACAATGATATTATCAGACAGATTGTGGGAACAACACCACATTCATTGCTAAACAGAAGATCAAATTGTTTGTTTATCTATTAAGAATGCAGCCAGAACAACTAACAGTCTAGGTGCTACATGGGTATTGATGGAAAGGGAAAGCAAGAGATAGCCCTAGGAGAAGTTGGACTGATAATATTAAAGAGCTTGTTAGTTAACATGAAATGAGAATAGTGATTGCTGCCCATCAAACCATGGATGGCAAACTGTTCCTCACCTAAACGTGTAAATGCCAGAAATGGAAATTGGTGATGATGATGACAGCATACATCACAAGTTTTAAGTTTGCCTTTTGCCTTTTAAGTTTGCCTTTTGATCAAAAAGCTGCCACTTCAGTATTTTCAATGTGCTTGAATTTACTTGCATTTAAATCATTGCGTGTCCAAAAGGCTGAGAGAGTCATGTTGACTTGGTTGCCAGTCACTTCCAGTTTTAAACTGTTTTAATTTTGAGGAGAGGAATGATTGTTAAAAAAAGGAACCTAAATGAAAATATTAACTGTAGACTAAACTGTTACATCATTGTATTCATTCATTATCCTGTTGTGCCATCATATGTTACCTTCAGCTTGCAGGCTATTTCCCGTATTCTGTTCTGTGCTGTACAATCATTTCAATATCATGGATGGAATCTAGTCCAGCAGCATTCACCTCTCTCTCCCAAACATTCGTCTTAGGGTTTCTTCTGGGCATTCTCTTGACCGTTATCCCTTCATTTCCCATTTTAATGCCTGTTTAGTGAATCTCTGCTGGTTTCTTCTCATGATGTGTCTAATGTAGCGCCATTTTCTATGTCTTATAACTTGATATAGTGGTTGCCCAGATATGTCTGTTATTACTTCACCCCTTTGAATTCATCCCATTCATGTATCATTGTATGCTCTGCTAGATATTTTAAACTCACGACTGTGTACCTCATACTGTAGAGTTTACTTTTTAAAAAACACTGATAATACAAACAACAGTACCCAATTAGAAACTTAATGTAACAAGCCAGGAGTAGTAGCTTATGAAACTAAAAAATATGGTATTTATAAGATTGTCAAAGATGGTATTACCAACCACCTATATTACAGAATTATGCTGATTAATAGATAAAGTAAAACAGTTTGCCAGTGTTAAAATAAACTGATTTAAGCAGATAAAGAAATATAGCACATAATGAAGAAAAAAACAATATAAGAAATTAGTCCAAGAGAGAATGTACAAGAAAAGTGAAATTTTCAGGTGGAATTAAACACACAAACACAAAACTAAATGACACGGATTTGAGCAGTATCTGGAAAGTTTAAAGAAAGAAGCATTACTTAAAACCTAGAGCAGGTTTGATTAATATATAATTCCTAATGTATCATGTTGTATGTTTGATTGTTAATTTATCATTAGAAATAGGCCCACAAGAAAAGCTCGTGTTTATTTTGTTATTTTATCATTAGAAATATGCCTGCAAGGTAACTATCGCAATGGAACAGACTGTTTGCCTTGCCCAGTGGGACAGTATCAAAATGAGTCAGATCAGACCAGCTGTAAAATCTGTGGAAACATTTCTGGCTATAATGCATCAACAGTCTCTACACAAACAGTTAATAAAGGCGACTGTTTTCGTAAGTATGCGCATAGAGAACAATATAGCTTTATTACTGGTTAACAGAAGCAGTGACACAGGACATAAGCACTGAAACTCTGTCAGAGGATGTGGAAGGTAGGTAGGTAATTGTACCCCATCAGGACATCACACAAGCAATAAACACCCGGTGACACAAAGTGCCATTTGGATGATGATCACCCATGAAGAGGTCCCAGAAACCCCTTTCAGCCATTAGGCCATATCTATGGCTAGCCCTTTTTTATGGCCCAGCTCTATTCAGGGCCCCTGGCAAAAGCCATATCTGTGGCTAGGCCTTATTTATGGCCCAGCTATATTCAGGGCCCCCGGCAAAAGCCAGGGTGAAGCTTCAAAATAACAAAAAATTGCATTCCACGAGGGGACAGGCTATAGGACGACTAGTACTAATTATCTCTGAGGATGTGGAGGTATACTGAATGCTAACTACTGCACTGTTGTTAATAGGGAATATGTCTAAACACATTCACATAACTGAAACTTGTTCCAGATTGTGTGTTTTAGACTGCATATTCAAAAGAGCAGATTTTCTGGCTACAAGAGTGGTAGGGGAACACTCATATTGGACAAAGGAGACATTCTGAAAACCATTTACGAATGAATGCTTATATAAAGGATGAGGCTAGATGAATAAAATATTTGTAAGAATGAGGAGTTAGGGGCATACGTGAGGGAGAGAACAAGGTGTGTGCAATCAATGTGCTACAGAAGCAGTTAGCATTACACATGATGACATTGGTTGCAGGAGAGAGCATCTATGGGTATTCCCAGCGTGCTGTGATGTCAGTTCTTAAATCAGCAATCAGACCACAAACTATCACTTGTCATAGGCTTTTTCATTACACAAAGTCTTAGATTGATTCTTGCCTAGTTTAATGTGTTAAAAGTTAGTTGCGTATCCTTTACAGGATGTTACAGAACCAACCCCAGCATTTTTTGGCTGTTGTGGTTTTTCTAGGAAAATTTTCATCCAGTAGTTAGCCATTGCTTTCTGGACGGTCGGCTTCTTGATTCCAATGTTGAAACCAACGCAAGGTACACAGCCCACAGCGGGGATTGAACCCGGCATTACAAAGCGCGTTTGCAACCCCTAAGCCACAGGCTGCAGTTGAAGATGTACTCACAGAAAAAAGCTCAGTAAAGGCATTTTACAAGCTAGCCAGTCATGACTGAAATTACCATGGAATTCAACATGTCAGAGCAATATTTGCATTAATGCTTCCATAAATTAGATGTACAGACACGCATGAATACCACATCCTCTCATGTTTCACCTCCTGGGAAGATACAGCTTAGTTACTGTGGCATCATTAGTCCATGTAAACCATTGCAGGGATGCGGTTGCCATCTTTGATTTTACCTTTACATTCAATGTTGCTTCATAAACTCTGTTCTTTAACAGTTTCAACTTTCACTTTAGCTATACACTTCTTTCTTGTTTTTCACATCACTGATTCATCATTATACATAATGCAATGACTGCTCATAAACTACATTTGGCTACATCAGTTACACAATCATAAAATAGTTTGGAAGCTTTCAGAAGTCTCTGTATGTCTCTTGTCTGGCTTACGCAGCTGGACACAGGAATAACTTGCTGGTCATTCAACATATTTAAAAAGTGTTATTGCAATGTTAAGAGATAGGTCTTATAGTTGATGCAGATTATAATCTTATATCACACAAAGATCATACAAAAAAAGGTTGTGTTAAAATGTATTTTACCTCAGACAGTTAAACATTGACTTCTAAAGTTATATGTAACAAATACTTATCTGCACGTTTTCTTCTTCTTCCTCCTTCCTTCCTTTTTTTTCCCTCCAGGCTGATGCCAGAAATTTTTACATCCTGAGATTATAAAATCTCAGTTTAAATGGGATATGAACAGGGAAGATCCCAGATTCTCCCATATTATTCTCCAGGAAAGTTGTAATTACCCTAAAATGGCTAGAGCATCTATTTTTGAATCTGAAACAAACAAAAACAACTAAGATAATGTCCACAGTGAACACAGCACATCAAGCACATATCAAAATTGACAACGAAGAGTTTCAAAGTGTCACTTATTTTTAATATTTAGGTTCAGTAATGAACAATGACGACTATACACAAACAGTCCGGAAACAACTTGCTTTCGCAATGCAGAGGCTAAACAGCATTTTTTTTAAACCTATAGCATACCACCTGCAAGCAAGTTGAAGTAATAATTTATTAGATCATGCATCTTTCCCTTGCAACTTATGGATGTAAGTCATGGGCTCTCACTCAGTCTTTAAAGAAGCAACTCAAAGCTTTTGAACTGAAATGCTACTGACAAATTCTTACAATACTGTGGACCAAGAAGAAGAAAACATCAATATTCTGTGTGACCTAAACATCGAGGAGAACTGGCTCATAAACAGCATCTTGTCCGAAAAGCTGAGGTGTTTTGGACAAGTCAAGCGCCATTTTAGTGCGGAGAAAATAGTGATGGAGGGTGCCGTTTCTGGAAAATGAGGCAGAGGTCGACTCCGCGAGGTGAATACATGAAAGCAGTGGCTGTGAAAGCACACAGGGCTGGAGAATTGGCTAGAGAAAGAGAGAGAGACTTTCAGGCATGCCTTGAAGAGATCGACGTTCTGTAAAGGACATGCTGATTCATTGATTGATAACGGCTACACCAGTCTGGCCTAACCTTACAGTCCTGTGTAGGCGAAGATCATAGTTCATGTGTGGGTTCTAGGACCTCATTTATGGGGATGGGTGGGGGAAGGGGCGGGGAGAGAGGATAGACTCACTGTCCTCTAGCAAGCATAAGATAAAAGCTAATCAGGTGTTTGCTAAAATCAAAAGCCTTGTACGAAAGGTGCAGATATCGCAGCCTAGCTGTAAAGCTCAACATAACATGCCAATCACCTTTTTAAGGGTAAATGCAAAAAAAAAAAAAAAAAAAAAAGATTTTGATCATAGTATACATATTTTACTCAGTTGTACAACTTGCAGTACCATTGTTATAAATAAACTGAGACAGTAATCATCACTGTATCAACATATGAAATGTTTTAGTTTAGACTGGCATTATTGGGAACTGTCCTTACCAATTATACAGTACTTCTAACGATTGCATGCTGATGATGATGATGATGATAGTGATAATCCTTTATATTCTTGTACCCTTTATTCAGCAATATGCCTAGAAGGTTTTTCCTTAGACAAGGGGAAGAGATCGTGTTTGCCTTGTTCTGTTGGTACCTATAAAAGTTCAAGATCCTTGAACCTTAACACAAGATGTGAATCCTGCAAAGCTCATTTTACTACCCGCCACGAGAATGAAACTAGCCCAGATGCTTGCATACTTGGTCAGTATTTTTAGTGTAATTCTCTTTAAATTATGGATTTTGTTATTTTTGTATAAATTTATCTTTATATCATGAATTTATCAACTCTTGTATGTTATATTATGGGCCTTACTTCTGCAGTGACCAGCCTGCCAGCTTGTAGTATGTGTGTTCAAACCACCGTTGATAAGGATTTTTTTTTTAAATTGATCAGTACCCACAGCCCAATCTTTCCTCAAACTGCTAGCACAAAATGTTCTTAGAAGTAGAGATGGCTAAGGGATGTTGACCTCATCATCCATGATAACCTATTAGTTTATTATATATATATATGTGTATGTATATATAGGACTTTCACCATATTACAATAGTCTTCCATGCATGCAAACATATCATTTGTTTTACCCAGTATGTTAAACATCACTTCAAGTGGCAAGTGTTTTGGACAAACATTAAAACACATATGTTCACACGTGAGATTCGCATTAATATATTTAGGTGACACTGTACTGGAAAATATATTAGTGAATGATCATCTGTATGTTTTTATTTATATGCTCCTTTTTCTTATCTTTTGATTTTTGTTGTAAACATGATATCTTCTTCCTTTTCTTCTTTGCGTTCACTTGCTGTAAACTCCTGCGAAAATTTGTGGTTGTTCATTCACATCTGGACTCTATCTTGTTTCAGAACTTGAATTTTGTGTGCCCCATCCATTTTACAGATCTAGCTTATTTGTAAGCAGACTGTTGGTCTGTTTCATACATATATTAAACAGGCATCTGAGTTTAAATATCTTGGAACAACATTCAATGAACATGGTAAATTAGACGAAGAAATTGACATCCGATGCAATACAGCAGGCCAAGTTTAGCTCCCCTCTTACAGCATAAGACAATCCCAATCAGCATAAAGAAACATCTCATACAAAGCATATTCATTCCCAACCTATGCTACAAAGGCCATATATGGTCACTCACAACAAAACATAAAAGAAAATTAGTAACCATGACAATAAGTTGTCTGAGAAAGGCTGTAGGACTGACCAGAAGAGATAAAATCAGGAATGAGGTCATACGAGATCAAGTTGGCACAGAACCAATTCTAAATTACATACAAAGACAGCAAATACAATGGTTTTCCCACTTAGAGAGAATGCCTCCTGATGATATACCATACAAGGCATATACCTAACAAGGAGCTGGGTGTAGAGCAAGAGGGAGACCAAAACAACATTGGAAGATAACATCAGAGAAACTCTACAGCACCAAAATGTGTCTATGGTCGAAGCAGCCAGAAAAACATGACGCAAGTCCTTATGTCTTCCTCCATACCTGAAGTGGTAAAAGAGGACGTGAATAAGAAGAAGACTGTTGTTTCCTCACTTCCCAAACATCTGTACTCAAACTTTGAAGCAAATACCCTTTATTAGTCGACTGCTGAAACATGCTTGCAAAGGGTAATAAGTCTATTTCTTTTTCCCCCCACAATGGCGCCCTAGAACCCACATGGGGACTAAACAGGATATGAAGAGAATTCTGGATTTTCATCTGATATGTGCCTCCAGGTACCCTAATACCCTTCACTCACACCAGTGTTTCCAAAATTTGTCTTGGTCACGGCGCCCTTTTTTTATTACAATTTCTGCACAGCGCCCTAACCTAAGTAAAAGTATGACTGTTCATGTCCGGGTTAAATTAATTATGAAGATTTTACAATATTTTGTGGCTTGCCTGTGAAGAGGTCACGGCTCTCCGGGGTGCCGCAGCGCACAGTTTTGGGAATCACTGACCTACACTATATCATTTCTCTCATAAGATATGCTTTTGCTTTTTCACCTGCCTGTGTTTAATGACTTACTGGTCATAACAAATGCACAAGTCTGATTTATTGACTGTTTAATTCTTGCGAGCAAGGAGACCAGTTTTGTAAAGAAATGTATCGTAAAATGGATGTGCACATCAACACTCAGTTTCTGGAACAAGACTAAAGTTAGGGATGTATGGTCAGTTTTTCACTTTTCTTACATACTAAACTTCTTCTCTTCTCTACTTCTGAAATGCCCTGCAGCATCAGGGCAGGAAGAGATCTCTAGAATGAATCCTTCTGTTTGCTTTGTATATATTACTTTTCATTGTCTCCCTTATGTTTCTGTAGTCCATCATTTGTGTGGTCGACCTCTTTATTATTATTATTATCGAACACCGGCTGTGAATTCCAGTGGAAGGTCCCGGTTAATCGTCCGCTTGGACTTTTGGCTTTCACCTGGACCTGATTTTTGCGTGTACAACCGTTTTTAATTTCCTTGCCTCTTGGGCAGCTGTACGCCGACTTCGAAGGAAGACGTCAGGCCTATTTCTAGGGTGACTGTGGCCATTGTTTTGTGTGGGTCGAGACGTTGCCTAATTTGTGTGGTGTCCATTTTGTCTCCTTCGCCGCAGGTATTGCCCCCAGAGTACTCCTTTGGGGCAGCCCCCTGTGGAACAGTTGGCCCTCAAGGGAAGGCAGGGGCAGATCATGAGCATTCCCCGCCATCCAAGGAGGCTTCCATGCATGCAGAGCCGGCACATATTGCTCTGATTCTGGGCTCACCCAAGGAATCGTCACGTCCTGCACATGCCTGCTTAACCTCACAACCGTATCAGGCCTCCCACTCGACAGGGGCTGCGCCCTCTGGAAGTCAGCGGGGAGCAGCCCGTGGGTTTTGGACTTTTGTGACCACACAGATAGGTACATTAGCCTGACAGAATTTCACATCCTGAATCAGGCGTATCGTTATCAGTTTTGTCCCAACACTCGGGCGAGTGGGGTCTTTGGGTGTGGATATTCGGTCTTTTTCAGTTCAGTGCAAATTTTGATGGTTAGATTTTGATCCGTATGATCTAGTTTTGTCGGACATTTAGGCTTAGCCATCCGATGGATGGTTGCTGTTGTGGTGTACCCCAGCTCGGTGACGACGACGCTGAGGGTTAACCGAGGATGTACGTGAATGGCCAGCCTATGGATGGTTGTTGTTGTGGTGCACCTCAGCGCGGTGACGACGACACTGAGGGCCAACCGAGGATGTACGAGGATGGCCAGCCTATGGATGGTTGCTGTTGTGGTTGTACCTCAGCGCGGTGACGACGACACTGAGAATTAACAGAGGATGTGCAGTGAGCAATGATCTCTTTACTCAGCAGTCTTTTAACCAAGGGTTGTAATTTTAGCTGTATGTTTGTCAACCCTACTCATGTTCCTAATGAGTTTTGATAACATTTTTCACCCAAGCGTTTGGGGGCGGGCTGATGAGAGCCACAAGGACACATCACCTCTGGGGGCCGCCAAACTCCGAGATCCCCTGACAGCTCTGTTAATGCTCATTTGAGACATTATCTGTGGCGCACGACGAGGACGTGCTGTAGGGGTCTTGCGTGAGGTTCCGTACAACCAGGATAGTGAAGGACTGGCGCCCGAGTGACGTACGGAGTATCTCCTTATACACATCATGTTGGACTTAACTTCCCCTCACGCCTGTGACATAACTCACCGCGCCACTGGTCGACCTCTGACTCTGTTACCACTGTATTTGTATAATAATACTCTCTGAAGTGCCCTCTCTGTTACAAATGTGTTTTTATAATAATACTCTGTTTAAGTTCCTGTCAGTTGCTACTGTTTTGTCTATGATCATTGTTGGCTCCTACCCATAGATTTCTTTCCATCCTAAAGTTAAAATCCTTGTTGTCTAAACTATACAAGCTCTTCAATAAAAAGTATGAAATCTAGTCCTGCACTTCTAGCCTGTCTCATAATTATTTGCCAAAAGTTCTCTTGAAAATCCTTTCTTTTCTGGTTCATTTGTCTTTCATTTCACTGCCTTTCTGTGATTCTTTAGAGTATGATACGTTTCTTTTTCTACACTCTTTTATTGCTTGCTTTTTTACTTGTTGTACCCCACCAGGACATCACACAAGCAATAAACACAGGGTGACACAAAGTGCCAACATGCGGATGAGGATCCTCAGTTGAGATATCCCAGAAACCCCTTTCAGCCATTATGGCCACAATTGTGGCCCAGCTATATTCAGGGCACCCGGCAAAAGCTAGGGTGGGCTTCAAATAACGAAAAAATTGCATCCAACAGGGGGATGACTTGAATTAACTCTTTTATTACACTGTCTCTTGTACACATCAATTTACAATTGTAAAATTATTGTCGTGATGGTATTGAGTTAACTTATCAGAAAATGTCCATGCATTTTATCAGACAAGTGTGAAAAGGGTTACTACAGAGATGTCAGCAGTAGTGAATGTAGGTCCTGCCCAGTAGGAGAATATCAAGACTCTGATCTGCTTCTGAATGTAACAGCGTGTACCAAGTGTCCAAATGGAACCACAACTTTATATGAAGGTGCACCTGTAAGGGATGGATACTGCATAAGTAAGTTTAGATTTACACATTTAACCTTCAGAGCTTTTTGCCCCGCTTTTATCCCATCTGGCTCAGTCTCTCTCTGCAGAAGAGCTAGCCAAGAGTGTCACACAGAGCACTAACTCTATAGCTCCAACTATGATCCCCGGAGATCTCCATAAAAATTGCATTTGTAAACTGAATGTTACAGTTTGTTAGATGAACCCACAGTCTTCAGAGTGTGAAGTAAAAGGCTTCAACATTTGGCTGTTTCCTCTATCAACAAGCTTAAATGATATAAAATGTTAATTATGTATGCTGCATGCGTATGCTCTAATTATGAAGTCAGAACTATTTATTCATGTTAAACAATAAAAGGAGACATAGTTGAAAAAGATTAGAAAAGGACTGCGGCACTGCTGTCACAATGTTGTTGAATAAGAGAGATTAAACTCTAATTGTAAACTCTAATGGATTGTCGATCAGTTGATTGGTATGGCTCCACTAGGCTGCTATCTAAAGGTTTTCATGCCATCCTGAGATTGAAAAAACGATCTCTGGACGGGAGACCAACAAAGCAGATCCCATTTACCCTGTTCAACCTCCAAAGAAGTTAAAGTTAGGTCACCCATAACCGCTACACCAGCTGGGTGTCACCTGCAGTCCTATGCAGGTTAGGATGTGACATAATGGGTTTCAAGCACAGAAAGCTTGAGGAGCAAGTAACCCTGTCACTGCCACTACTGTCCGTTTTACCACTTTTTAGGGCGGTAAAGACAGGGGGCCTTGAGTTGAGGAATTAGGGCCACCTTGTTAGTGCTGTCGCCACAGACTGTGCAGGTTAAAATGTTTAATTTTGCCTCCGATAGAAAAACTCAATCAGCTTACAAGGGGTCAAACTCGGGACTTCCGCATGAAAGCCCAATGTTGTAACAGCTCGGCCAACTGCTACTAGAGGAGTAAACAAAATACTTACAAATAATCATATTTCTAATGTAAAATTTTTATTATCTTCTTGGTGGTTTTTTTTAAACTCATATTCTATGATTTGTACGGATGTTTTGAGTTTTTTTTTCTCCAGATGATAACATTTATGTGACATGTTTATTACATTACAGATAATTGTCCTGATGGGGAAGAATACAATTTAATATTCAAAATCTGCTCTGTCTGCCCAATTGGAATGTACAGACCATTAGGTGTAAGTGTCCTTTTTGCTCATCGATAGATAGATCAGGTGACTTTTCAGCAGACTTTCCAGAGATCGAGTGAATAATGAAACTATCAGGTAAATTGTGGGAACGACACCTTGTACTAGATTCATCGAGAAACAGCAGATCAAGTGGTTTGTCCATCTCATTAGAATGCAGCAGGATCAAATACCATCACAAGCACTATATCTCAGAAGTTCAGCAACAAGAGCAAGAGGACGGTCGTGGAAAACATGGATCGGCAACATTAAAGACACTCTATGCTTTCAATGTATTACAATAGCCAGTGGCAGCTAACGTGAACTGGATTGCAAATTATTCCTCCCCGCGACGCTTAACAGCAGAAGTGGTTTATAGTGATGATGATGACTGTAGACTCATTCTTGACAATAACTTGGAATTGAATTATCACTTGGTTTCCTGGTTCTACTGTCCTCACCATTTAATTTTTTTAGATAATTTAGTGAGTTTCAGCAATGAGTCAAATATTTATAGCACATATTCAAAATATATGCACATAGGCCTATGTCATAGGTTATATTCTTCAGCTGTACTATAAGCATGAGAAAGAGATGCCAGCTTTATAAGAATTCACTTTTTAAACTTGCAAGATGCTTTTTATGTCCTACATTTTTCATTTAAAAAAAAATTATTTATGCTTATAGAAAGAAGTCTTTTTATTAGAAATTAAATCATTACTTTTCATTATTATCACCATCTTCTTCTCCTCCTCCTTCTCCTTCTCCTCCTCCTTCTCCCCCTTCTCCTCCTCCTCCTCCTCCTCCTCCTTCTTCTTCTCCTCCTCCTCCTCCTCCTCCTTCTCCTCCTCCTTCTCCCCCTTCTCCTCCTTCTCCCCTTCTCCTCCTTCTCCCCCTTCTCCTCCTTCTCCCCCTTTTCCTCCTTCTCCTCCTTCTCCTCCTTCTCCTCCTCCTTCTCCTTCTCCTCCTCCTTCTCTTCCTCCTTCTCCTCCTCCTTCTCATCCTCCTTCTCCTCCTCCTTCTCCTCCTCCTTCTCCTCCTCCTTCTCCTCCTCCTTCTCCTCCTCCTCCTTCTCCTCCTCCTTCTCCTCCTCCTTCTCCTCTTCCTTCTCCTCCTCCTTCTCCTTCTCCTCCTCCTCCTTCTCCTCCTCCTCCTCCTCCTCATTTACCAGTTGTAAATTCCAGCAGAAAATTCTAGTTGTTTGTCCACTTCTGGACTCTGGTCTTGTTTTAGAACTTGATATTTAGCATGCACATCCAGCTTACAATCTAACCTATTTGTAGCCAGATTGTTGGATCTTACCTCTCAGGCAGGTGCACTCTGACTTCAAAGAAAACATTCCTAATTAGTCAACTCTTATGACATTCTTGTTAGGGAGCAGTGTGTCTATTTGTGTTTCCCCCTACAGCAAGGTGCATTCCCCGTCCCCTCCCCAAAGGTGTTTGGTTAATCCACTCCTCTTTCTTTGACTGCCTATATCCTAATTTTTTTTTTTTTTTAAACCCTACTAATTGAACTTTCTGGTGAAATTTGCTGATTACTATTTTTGTTTCTTCCTCGTAAAATGCTGAATCAGTTTTTGATTTCTGTTCTCAAATTCTGATTTATTCATAGCTTAGTTTTCCTTAATTTGAACATATCACAATAAGTAAATTGTGTCCACTCACTATATATTATGTGAATGTGCATTTTCTACCAACTAAAACTGAAATTAAATATTTTAGGAACCACCAGTCTGCTTTTCATGTGAACCTGGCCTTACAACTCTGAATACAAAGGCTACTGAATGTATTGCATTTCAAGGTAAATACATGCAGAGACAGAAGATCACAACATGGGTCATTTTTAGTCTGACTGACCAAGATATTATTATGTATATTATGTTAACGAACTGGTTTTAAAGATATTCAACCTTCTTACCTTTCAAAATATCCAGGTTATGCCAGTGTGTCGGGAAATGAGCAGGCAAATAGACTGGTTAATTCTGCACCACTTGGTAATGAATTGATGTATGACAAGTAGAAAATATGAGGGCCCTTTGGGAACTAGTGAACTGTGCGGATGCGGAGTTATCCAGGAATGTGGCCAACGCTCAACACTCGGGAAAGGACGAAACGGTTATACAATCAGAGGGCTACTGGTGCCATCAGAATTAGAATTCTTTGCCTGATGCTAAAGATAGGGATGGAGCACTTATGGGAGTGTCCTGAGTGCTGTGATATCAATTCTTAATTCAGCATTTAACTTTTCAAAACTGAATACTTTCTTCAAAAATCCGTTCCTTGTCCTATAATGACATTTATGTTATCCATACATCAGTGCCAAATAAACGCATTGGTATCTTTGTCAAATGTCTAGAATTTTTGAGTCAGCAAGGTCCAAAAAATGTATTCACTGCTAAATTGCTCATGTCTGACTTTGAACCCTGGTATGTTGTTGAATGTTATATGTTAAATTAGGAATCCACATCACAGCATTCAGGGCACTACAATAAGTGCTACATCCCCATCTTCAACAGCAGGCATAGATTATCAATTCCCATGGCATCAGTAAATCTGATTGTATATCCATCTTGCCTTTCCCTTGAGTGCTGACTATCAGACAGATCGTATGATCACTCCTAAAGGATCATCTCAACATCTAGTTTTGTGTACCTTTGTACTGTTTGCTCACTCCCAAAGGATCAAAACAACATTTAGTTTTGTGTACCTCTGTACTGTTTACTCACTCCCAAACGATCATAAAAACATCTAGTTTTTTGTACCTCTGTACTGTTTACTCACTCCCAAAGGAACATAAAAACATCTAGTTTTTTGTAACTCTGTACTGTTCACTCACTCCCAAAAGATCATATCAACATCTAGTTTTTTGTACCTCGGTATTGTTCACTCACTCCCAAAGGATCATAAAAATGTCTAGTTTTTTGTACCTCTGTACTGTTTACTTACTCTCAAAGGATCATAAAAACATCTAGTTTTTTTTGTACCTCTCTACAGTTTACTCACTCTCAAAGGATCATAACAACATCTAGTTTGTATCCTATTATGCTAGACTAATGAAATTATTTTTGACTTTAAGCCACAGCTGCAGTTTTCCACTAGGGGAAAAAGTTTCAGTTTATCTTGGCTGGCAGAGTAATTATTAAGGCTTGCTGTTGGGCAATTGAATATTTAGTGTAGCCAGTTCCATGGCAAACCTGTTTTGTTTTCTTATAAAATATATATGATTTATGAGTTAAAAACCAACATCATAGAATGTGGGACTTTCCCATAAGTGCTCCAACCCTATCTTCAGCAGCAAGCACAGAGTTCAAGTCCTGATTGTATGTCACATTACCCCCCCCCCCCCCCCACCCCCCCAAGTAATAATAGGGGTGCTAGTACAATTTTATATACTGGGTTTTTCTTATGAAACTATCAAGGCTAAGTAGAGATCAAAATTACAAGTCCAAGGCACGTCAATGAAGCCTTAAGTTAATTCAAAACTGAAATAATAATATTTTAGTGGTGGATACCACTACAGACAAAATATACAGCAAAGAAATGTGAGAAAAGATGGATTCCAGGCTGCAACCCAGTACAGGGAAATGACTAAATGTTTGCATTTATGGCAATACTATTTTGTTTCCTAATGAATTCCTTAGTCACTATATATCTTTGCAATTGGCGTAGTGAGACCTAACTACGTGCATTTGTTGAATACGTATAATGCAATACAAACCTACTTCTCATTTAGAAATAGCCACCAGCTGATTATCTTTCAGCAAAAGCCTTATACATTTATGGTTATCGGCCAACGAGCCTGGCAAGATGCTTATCATATTGTGTGTTCTGACAAGGCAGACATAAGGATCATAAAAAATTTGCATATGTCAGCTAACCTGACCTAATTCTTCTTCTTATAGTCCATGCCTTGTGGCGTTTGTAATCATGTCTTTCCACAACCTTCTGATCCTTCATGCCATGATGTCAAACTGTCAAGCATCTGTTCTAACAGCCTTTCTCGGCCTCCCCTCCTCTTCCACTTTCCTACTCTCACGATGTATTCTAGTTTTCTCCTTCTTGTCACATGACCAAAGAATGTAGATTTTCTCATTCTGATGCGGGCAATCAGTTCTCTTCATGAGTCAATTTCTTTCAAGTCATTTTCATTACTGCTTTTTATCAGTCCAGGGTATTCTCATCATTTGTCTATAAAACCACATCTCCGCAGATTCCCAAAAAAGTTTTCACTAATTTACTAACTGTCCTTGATCCACTTACGTATATCAATAAAGGATTTATAAAGCTTTAAATAATTCTCTTTATCATCTGTTGACAAAGAAAGATTGCATTAAAATATTCTATATTTTATAAAATGCTGCCTTTCCATCATTTCTTGCAGCTGTGTTATTTCAAAACATCAGCATATTGCAGATTGTTAACAATATGTGCACCAACTGATTCCTGACATACAATAAATGGATCTAATTATTTTTCACTGTACTAATTGAATAAATTGGTTGACATTAATGTTTTGAAAAGTTCCAACTTGGTTGTTAGTCCTTATAGCTGCTTCCAATTTGTGATTTTTGTAATTATTCTCAGATCTTTATCATCAGTGTTTAAGGTTTCTAAACTTCTAATAATTTCTTTATGTTTCACTTTATAAGATGCTTTAGTGTAATCAAAAAGCACAAAAACAGATCTATAATCATGTCAATCATTCTTTCTGACCGTATTCTCAAGATAAATTCAGCATTGTTTATGCCTTCACCTTGAACAAAGCCACACTGTTTTTCTCTAATTTCTGGTTTAATTTTGCATCTAATTCTTCTCAAGATAATTGTCATTAATATTTTAGTTACATGAATCATTAAACTAATTGTTTGATGTTTTCCACATTCTATTTCACCAGATATTTCTGGTAAAAGTCTGAAAAGAGATTTCAAAAGATCATCAGGTACGTATCTGTTGTTATAAAATCATTGAACAATTTTATCAAAACTCCTAAAGCCAGTTTACCAGCAACTT